TATTCAGGAACAGCCAGTAAGATTACAGTTTCTTTTCTAGCTCACAAACGGACTTACAGGAAATTTTCCAAAAGAATCTAGGACAGAATATATGACATCAAATGATTTAACAAGCTAGCATTTATTTGGATAAAACCAGTCTAATCTCTGAGCCTCATACAAGTGCTCTGAAAATTCGTGCTCCTGGAAAGGTGAGGAAAGGCAAGTCTCATTGCACGTCTGGAAAGGCATTGACTCCTGACCGAGGGGCCAGGGCACGCATGTTTAATAGACGTTGCTGGGAGATCAGACAAGTGTACATGGCAACCCGGGGTCGCTCAGAAGGGTGCTCACGGCAGCACCTTTCCTCCTGCGAACCGCACACCCTGCCTGTCTGCTTCCTCCTTCAGCCCCACAGGGACACTCACTAGGGTCATAGTCAAGCCCAGGGGACACTTATTCTTGATGCATTCAGTGAGTGCCTTCTGTGTGCTGCATGCTGTGGGGGACTCTTGTGTGGGCGCCAGCCTCGCTCGGGAGGAGATGCCCAACATCGAACAGGACCACAGGCTCATCAGTCATTAGGAATCTAATTAAAGTGCTTGACGGGATCCAGGGTACTCTTGGCGAGGGGTGGGGGTGGGCAGGAGCTCTGTGTCTGGGGATCCAGCACCTGGAATGGACTTATACTGGAGCTGAGCTCCGCAGGCTGGGGGAGGTGTATGTGCTGAGGCAGGAGGAGAGGGTTCAGGTAGGTGGAGTGAGGCACGGAGGGAGCTCGGGACGAGTCAGAAGGGGCACAGCAGAGCCTGCGGACTGGACAGAACTGGGCACTACCCTGAGGCAAGGAGAGCTCCAAAAGCTAAGCAAAGTTTGGTGACGGTCAGGTTCTCCAGAGGAGCAAACCCTTTCAGGGACATCATTGAAAAGGAGAAGGAAGAGAGAAGATATTTATAGACATTTTATGGTTTTAGATTTAATGATGGTCTCTGATCCACTTTGAGTTAATTTTTCTGAATGGTGTGAGGAAGGGGTTCCTACATTTTTCCGTATGTGTACCCAGGAGACTCCAGCAGGTGCACACAGCAGCTGAGGTGTGGGCAGACAAAACACAGTGCACCAGCTCCCCTCCCTCACTGCCACTTCCCCCTCCACAACCCCCCTACCCTGTGCTTCCCAAGGCCTCACTCAGTCTGGGCGGCAGGTGTCCTGCGCGGCCTGTTGGCCCGGGTCCCAGAGGGTAGAGGGCAAGTGTGGGCCTTGAGCTTCCAATTACTTCTGCTTTTCCTTTAATTGTTCGGACACATCCACGTCCACATTTCCCAAGCTCCACTTTTACTTTTAGAGATGCTACAATAAAAACCACAAAAAGGAAGGAAAGTTTCTGCAGCAGCCTCTTGATTAGTCATGACCCCTCCCTCTTTCTCGGAACTGGTGACTCAGGCGCTGGGTGGCGTCCTGGTCCCCTCCGACCCCCAGCCCTGCGCTCTGCCCACCCTGTCCTCCTGCAGAATGCTCCCGTCCTCAGCACCCTGTTCAAGTTCCCAGCTGCTGAGCTCCTCTTCTTTAACTAATTTTCCCAGTTATAAATATTATGATGAAAAGACAATTTTGTGTTTTCTTGTTAGAGAATCTTTCTGGAAGGATAGTCAGGAAACTGGGAACAGTGTTTTCCTTTGAATTTCAGCAATGTGATTTATGTTATTTGCCCAACACAAAATACATTTTTTAAAAAACGCGAGTCTTGCAGTTGGTCCTTTTTCAAAGACACTATTTTAGCGTCTCTTGTTTTAGCTGTCCCAAACCCCTCTGCCTTAGTTCATACCGCCTGCCATGGGGTCCACTTTTAATTCTATCAACATTTTCTCATTACCCCATGGGAAGGTTCTAAGAAGAGAGATCACCTCAAACCTCATTCATTCATTTCTTCAGAAAACATTTTCTTCAAGCATCTAACATGTTGGGGGGTGGTCCGGCTGGGTCAGCAGAGTGTGAGATGCCTAGTCTTGGGGTCGTGAGTTCAATCCCCACGTTGGGCATGAGCTTACTTTTTGGAAAAGGAAGGAAGGGAGGGAGGGAGGAAGGAAGGAAGGAAGGGAGGGAGGGAGGGAGGGAGGGAAACATGCCAGACTTACAGGGAGGCTGTGGGGCTGGGTAGGGCACAGTGTTGACACGGAGGCACAGGTAGGGCTGAGGAGGGATGTGCTCAGAGGCTGCGTCACAGGGCAGGGTTGAAGACACACACTGCACTTACACAGGATTTCGAGGAGGCCTGGGGGTCATTCTTGAGGGAAGCCTTGTTTGCACCTGGAGGGGCTGGCTTCACTGGTTGGGAGAGTTCCTGCCCTCGGGGCCGGGATGTGGGAGCTGAGATGCAGTCACTGCCTGTCCTGTCCCATGTCAAACAGATGGCTGGTGAGTGGCAGAGCTCAATGCCCAGACAGTGTGGGTCCAGAACCCACCCTGTTTTGTCAGAAGGCACAGAACGGTAATGGGGACAGAGTCAGGACAGGATAAGCGTTTGGAGGACGGGAAGGGCAGCTGGGTTTCAGCTCTGGAAGTGTGGGCGGGTAGCCGCGTCATGTGCCCAGAGCTGGGAGAGGGCCCGGGATGGGAAGGAGTCAGAGCACTCAGGAAGGAGTCCAGAGCGACGGAGGCCAAGTGGGGTCGTGTCATGCAGCGGCAGCAGTGGGCAGAGGAGTTGGGGCCCCAGGGTGACACGGGGAGGTGGGTCCATGGAACTTTCCCAAGCTGTCATGGGGCTCCCTCGGCCTGCCTCTTGTAGCTACTACTTCCTAACAGATCCGTACCCTGCCCCCCATAGGCTATAATTTTATATTGCTTGCTGCAATGATAACGTTTTTGATTTACTGGGTTTAAAAGAGCACATGATTAAAATTCGCTTCACTACGTTTATTCTTTCTAGCGTGGAAACTAGAGTTCCGCGTGGCTCACGTGGGGTTTCACCAGACAGCACTGGGTCAGGACGGCGGCGATGCTCTGCCTCCAAGCGACTTCCAGCTGGCTTGGGAGCCGTCAGAACAGGAGAGCAGAGTCCACTCTGGACCATCACGCACGAAGGCCTGTGGCTGCAGGGGCCGTGTCCTCACGCAGGGACTCCCGTTGTGTGGACAGCAGGGGTGGCTGCCACAACCTGAGGTTTCCGGAGCACAGTGGGAGGGTTTCCAGAGAGCAGGGGCCCTGGGAAAAGGGAAGAATGAGGGAAGTGGCAGAGCCTGGTGGGGTCTAGAGCAATGAGATGAGCGGCGTGCGCTGCCCGCATGAACAGGGCACAGGCACGCTGCCTAGACAGGGATGCGGGTTTCTGGGGCTCCCCATCCCCCACAGGAAGAAAGCCAGCATGTGATGAGACGGGCCCACAGCCTGGTGCGCTGGTTCCTGTGGGACTCCGGGGCAACAGCCTTTCCAGAGCCTGACTGCCGCAGCGGGGAGAGGAGCCTGGACGGGGCTTTTGTTCTGAGGGGCCCATGGGCCCAGATCTCAGGAGAGCTGTGCACTACACACTCCTCCAGACGCTCCGACCACTCGTCCTGGTTTGTCCGACTGGTTTGACAGTGAGGCCTGACTTACCGTTTGAATTGTCTGGAAGACGCTTGCCATGGATTCACAGAGTAGAACCTACAGCACCCCAAGGTGTGGGAAAACCACATGTAAATCCAGAGATAAAAGCTTCTACTATTTTTTCATTTTTAAAAAAATATTTATTTATTTGACAGAGAGAGAGAAAGGGCACAAGCAAGGGAGGGAGGGAGAGCAGGGTTCTCGCTGAGCTGGGAGCCGGCCCGCACGGCTCCATCCCAGGACTGAGAGATCATGACCTGAGCCAGAGACTAACGCTTCACTGACCAAGCCATCAAGCTCCCCCAAACTTTTATTTTTATTAAAAAACGGCATGGACAAAAGTGCCTTAAATGAAAGAGTAAACAATGTAATCCGGGTGCCTCTGGGCAAAGGGTTTCGGCAAACTTCCGAGGAGCTGAGACAGCGAATGATTCCAAGCGACGGGATAAAAAATCTTGTGAAACTCGGGGGGTTTCCAACTTGTGCTTTCAGCAAAGACGGAAGGAAAGTCAGTGCGGTTGTTGCTGGACACAGACTACAGGAAAAGAACGGATGGCGGGCTCTGGGTCCGCGCACAGAACAGATCGGAGCTGTAGGAAAGTGGACAGTGGGGGACGGGGGAGGGAAGGGTCTTGGGTCCGGCGGACGGCGGTGGACAGGAGGGCAGCGGCCGACTGCGCAGCGCGGACCCCCGGAGCGGCTGCGGGACGGTAGCGGACGCGGACCCGCGTCGGCTACAGGGCAAGGAAGGGCGTGGACCCCCGGCGCCTCCTCGGCGACCTTCGTTCCAGAGGCGGCCGCTGCGTCCTTCCGTAGGGACCGGCCGTCAACGCCGCGGAGGCGCGAGCGACGGCACCGGCGGACCCGCGCGGGGAGTCCGCACGGCGCGTGTCTTCATTCCGCTCCCGCGAGCGCCGACCCCGAGGACAGGCGCGACCGCAGCACCGCGCGCCGGTCCACCCCCGACGGACGGGCCCGCGCGTCCCGGCGGCGACGACGCCCACGACGAGCCCCACGACGCCCCACGAGCCCGTCTCGCGCGACACGGCGTGCGGAACCGGCGCGGGCCGTGTGCCGGGGCCGGACCGGGGGACGGGGGGGGACCCGACCGCTCACCGGCCGCCCCCCAGCCGGGTCGCACCGAGGCCTGCAGCGGCCCGCAGCTTCCAAGTCCGTCTCCGCAGTCACGCCGGCGTCGCCCCCGCGCCGGCCGCCGAAACTCCCCGCACGACCGCACGGCCGCACGGCGTCTCTGCGCGGCGTGGGAGAGGCGTGGCCGGCGGGGTCGCGGGGCGGGGCCGGGGCTCAGAGGGGGGCGGAGGCGCGGGGCGGGGCGGGGCGTGGAGCGCGCCCTCCGGCGGACCCCGCCCAGGCGCTCTCGGCTCTCGCGAGAGCGGCGCGTGATGACGCCCGGGCGGCGGAGCGCGGCGCGTCGCGCGCGCGGGCGGGTTTGAATCTGGTCCGAGCGCGGGAAGCGGCGGGCTTGCGGGACGAGGTGAGCGCCGCGGTGCGGGTCGGCGGGGGGGCTCCGGGCGGGGGCGGCGGTCGGGACGCGGCGGGGGCCGGGCGGGTGGGGCCCGCAGTCCCGCAGCGACGCCGGCGGCTCGGAGGCGGCCCCGGGGCCTGAGCGCGCCGACGCCCGCGGCTGAGTCCGGGGGGACCGCGGCCCCGACCCCGGGGGGACACTCCCCCTCCGCAGCCCCAGCGCTGGGCCACCCCCGCCGCCCGGGTCCCCGCCCCTCGCGGCGGTCGTTGTCCCGAGAACGGCCGGCTCCGGGGGCGCGGCCGCCCCGTCCACAGGAGCTGCCCAGCGCCGGGCGTTCCCGGCCAGCGCTCGCGTCCCCGCGGCGCGGGACCCCGTGTGCTCCGCGGACCGGTCTCTGCGAGCTGACACGACGCCCCAGCCGGAGCCCCGCGTCTGGCGGGACGCCGAGGGCCGGGGCGCCCGTAGTCCGCAGACGGACCGCGGGGCCACGGCCAGGGCGCGAGGCCGAGAGGCGGTGGCCCGGGGCCGAGCGCGGGGAGGCGGTGCTCGGACGGAGCCTGAAGGAGGGGGCCGGGGAGCGGGCGGCCCCGGGGGAGAGTTCCCGGACGCGCGTCGGAGGCGCGGGGTGCCGAGGGCTCCGGGCGCGGCCAGCGACCAGAATTAGTCATCGCGCTTGCGGCTGGCCCCTCCCTGCCGCCCGGCCGGCCGCGGGTCGTGCGTCCGTAGCTCCGCAGACAACCTGGGGCTGTGTGTTCCTGCCGGGGCCGGGGAGGTTCCGCTCTGCTCCCTCTGACGGGGACCGAGCGGGGCGTCTTCGCGGGTCTTCGCGGGAGCGACCTGGCCGCGCGTCCGCTCCGCCCTCTGGCCGTGCCTCCGTCGGGGGCTGGACGGCTCAGCCCCGCCGGCCCCGGGTGCTGAGTGGGAGGCCCAGGCCGGGCTGGGGGTTGCGCGCGGTCCCCGAGCTCCGGCTCCCGCAGGACTGGGTAGGAGCCGTGGCGGCGCGCGCCTCACGCACCTGCGCCCGCTAACGAGCTCCCGGGTGGCCCGGGAGCGCTGAACCGCAGGCGAGGCCCCCGGGACTGTGGTGAGAGCGGAGTGGCCGCGGAGAAGGGCGGCCTGCGGGAGTCGGCCGCTGCGGTCAGCCTCTCTCCCTCTGCTGGCTTTTTTCTTTCAGCGCTTTCAGCTTTTTCCGGGCGCTGCCGAGACTTCCTCGCCCGCGCTGTGCTGGACCCGGCTTCCGTGGACCGACTCCGCGCGGACTCAGACCTGCCTGGAGGTGAGCCTCCCAGCCGTCTGCGTTTCTCTCGCGTCCACGGTGCTGACTTCAGTAACAGCTGGTCATAACGTCGTGCTGTGTTGGGACGGTAAAGACAGTGGTAAAGACAGAGAATTATTTTTGGATATTCTAGCTTAATATCAGAATAGTGTTAAAAAATGTCTGTGGTTTTTTGTTTTTTTGTTTGTTGCAATTCCGGATGTTAGTACCAAATTATATCTTGTAGGAAAAGGTATATTTGCAAATTCCAGTTTGAGGAAGATTGTGTTTTCTGTGAGGGTTACAGAATAAATGCCGCATGAAAACCACTTTTATCTGTCATGGAGAAACGAGAGACATTCGTACAAGCTGTGTCCAAGGAGCTGATTGGAGAATTTTTGCAGTTTGTTCAACTTGATGTAAGTTTTATATTTAGTGCTTTGTTATGGTTTGACTGTTAATTACATCCACAAATGAAATGTACTTGTCTGAGTGAATCTTCAGAGACCAAGGTTTATTTAAAAAAAAAAAAAAACAAAAACAACACTGTCCTCCAATACACCTGCTGATGGGCAACGATTCACAAATTGTATTTCCTGCTTCACTTTACGGGAGTGTAAGAGTGCTAAGTGATGTCACACCGTGTGCTTCTAGTTACTTCAGTAGTTACCGACCCCTTGTTTGTGCGTGGCCTAGTGAGGAGGACTGCTCTCTTGGTCCTCGGGTCGTTCACAGTGCTGTGGTACATGCAGGTGTGAAAATCCACCAGAGTAGAAAGGCTAAGCTAGGGCAAGGGTATGGGAGGGGCCCAAATCCAGCCATGGACTGTGTCCCGTCCCCGTGGGAAGGGTGTGGAAGCTATGATACAAAGAGGAGACCAGTCAGCCAGTCAAAGATGGGTGTAGGGAAGGACCTCTCCAAGTAGAGGAGATGGCTTTGAAGACCGGAGAAGGCAGCTGCTGTTTGAACTTGAGGACGTTTGGTGGGGTTAGGGTGTAGAAATGCCAGGTCAGAAAGAGGCGGGGGCTGAGATTCAGATGACGTCAGTCCTTCCTGCCACTTGAGTGAACTGAGACTTAATCCCGAGAGCCGTGGGGGCTGTACGTGCACACATTGAAGAGGGCAGCACGAGAGCCCGGAGAGGCGTGAGCTGGCCGTGCCCTGCATGATGGTGGCCGCGTTAGTGGATGGGCCTGGGAGATGTGGGTGCCTTTGTGAGCTGCCCGGTGGTGAGGTGGTGGTGCTGTTGACTGGACGCAGGCCAGGGACAGGGCTGAGGCAGGTTCCAGGGTCTGACTTGTGGTGCCTTTCGGTGAGATCATGGACGTGGGGGCAAGGCAAGCTCAGTGTGGGGTGTTCTGGATGACTGCCAGGGGACGTGCACAAGGTGATGTATCTGAGGTCCAGGAAAGAGGCCTGGGGAGAGACAGATTTGGGTGTCCTCAGGGGCACTGGGGAGCTCCAGTCATGGGAACGCAGAGGATCAACTGTAGTGCAGTGAGAGAAGCGTAGCCTAGGGCAGAACTCTGAGGAGCCCTGACCCTAAGGAGCCAGCTCTAAAGCACTGCGACTTTGGGGAAGGAGACACACACCTCGCTTGTTCCGCTCGTGCACTGGAAATTAAGTTAGTCGTAATTAAGAGGTAGAGGGTATCCTAATAGGAAGTTTGTTGTTAGAAACATTTATGAAGTCATTTTTCTTTTTAAGAGGAAATGAGCTGCTAGTGCGATTTTGCATTGTAAAGTGGTTCTCTGTAAACTTGAAAATGACCAGCATGAGCGCACATCAGCCCATCGCAGGAGTGTCTGTCGCAGCGGACAGTCTAGACGCTGCCTGACGCCTGTTGTAGGAGTGTCGCTGATGCGCATTGTATTAGGTGTGCGACGCACACGCGGTTTGGAGTCTGTAAGCTTTGCCGTTGCACACTGGTGTCGCAGCGTCAGTACCACAGGCTGAGCTGATGATGGTGAAGTGGAGGGGATATTAATTTAAATTCAGAAGGCCAAAGTAGCAGCGTTTGGTTAGCACAGTCCGTGCAAGATCATACTGCTGCTGTGGTGACAGAGCGCCCTGTGAGGTGCTTGCCACCGACTTCCCGGGTCACGTGCTCCAGAGCCTCGGACGGTTGCTCGGCAATGGACGTCTGGGGAGGATGCTGAGCTCGTCCTCATATTCTTGGGCATTCATTTTAGTTCACGAGTGCCAAGCGTTATTAACACTTAGTAATTTAGTATCTCAATCACCGTGTAACTCTTAATTAACATGAAAACGAGAAGATGTAGAATTGTGCAGCACTTGTTTTCTTTGAGTTGAAAGATATGAAATGCCATTCTGTAGGTCAGGGTAGCCAATAATGGCAGTTTTACATGGTCAGCCAGATAATGAAGTCAGTTTAAGGCCTACTAAGTGGACCTGCCTACATACAGTCAGTTCTGCTGTAATGCAACATACACAATGCCGGAAATTGCCAAAAATCACTATACTCTGCAGAACAGCAGTGAAAACCAGGATTATGTGACAAGGGGTTAAGGGCATGACACTCAAACACCTCATCAGTGACACATTTAAAAAAGATGGTGACTAATAAGAAGTAGTTTTATACAAGTTAACTCGCTAAGAAGTACATAAATACCATAGTAAACATGACATTTTTTTTTAAAGATTTTATTTATTTATTTGACAGAGATCACAAGTAGGCAGAGAGGCAGGCAGAGAGAGAGGAGGAGGCAGGCTCCCTGCTGAGCAGAGAGCCCGATGTGGGGCGCGATCCCAGGACCCTGAGGTCATGACCTGAGCCAAAGGCAGAGGCTTAACCCACTGAGCACCCCAGGTGCCCTGTAAACATGACATTTATCTTGAAAAAGATCCTAAGTTTGCAGTTGGAAGTGGGTGCCCGGGCTCCCATGGGCTAGCCTGCCAACACTTTGTGTGACAGGAAGAGAAGAAAAAGACCAGGCTGGGAGGACAGGGAACATTGAAGAGATAGTACTGGTCAGAGGGTTGCATCAAGGTGGGTCTTGAAGGGGGGATGGACCTGAGGTGTGGATGGTGTGGCCTGCAGCACATGTGGGGTCCCAGGAGCTGGCAGGTGTCTGGGGTGTGTGTTTTCTGCGCCTCCGAGGCTCCGCTCAGTGCATGCAGTTTTCTGCATTCACATTCTGGTGAAATCCCACCTAAGTAAACCAGAAATTGCCTTTTGCTGAAATTGTTCTCTTATGTGTTGTTCGCATTAAAACAAATTTGCATTTCAAATTTGCTGTTGTAGAGCAGCACTGACTCTGTCCTCAGTGGTTCTCCGAGAATCAAGGATTCGTGTTGAGAGTCGGAGAATCAGGGCCCAGGATAAGTGCCTTTTAACGAGCTTGTCCTGAGTGCTGTCTGGATGCCAGGCTCTGCTCTGGGGCTTGGGGTACAGCATATACCAAGTTTCTGCTCAAAGAGAGCTTAGGTTCTAGAGGGGAGGGGAGAGGCACACGGTAAGAGGATGGGAGTGTGATTTTGTCAGAGGTGGGACCGGGCCCTCTGGAGACTGAGGGAGGAGAATTCTGGACAAGAGGGATGGGGAGGGGAAGACCCCAAGGCAAGTGCACACCTGGACAGCTCAGGTGGGGCTTCCTGGGAGAGGAGGGCGGATGGTAGGAGTGAGGGTGGGGAGGTAGCTCGGAGGGCCCTGGAGACGCTACCTGCCCTCCCCTTTGCTACTGGAAGAACGGCAGAGGTAAAGGAAAGTTGCAGAAGAATTCTGAATCGCTGCACTCAGTTTTGCCCGTTACCATCTGCCGTGTTTTCTTTTTCATTCCCGGCCTTTCCCTGTCCTTCCCGAGACGTTTGGAAGTCTCTTGCAGGCATTTGTCTGATCCCCACATGTTTCGGTGTGTAGTTGCCTAAACAGAGATTTTCTCTTATGTCATCACAGTAGAAATTCTAAAAGTCAGGGAAGTTGACATTGGCACAAGGGTACTACCGTCTGCACACTTGGTCATGTTTTTCCCTGGTCCAGGGCCCTGCTCAGTCCTGCACGTCGCATTGTGTTGTCTGACTTGTTACCTTCTCTAGCCCAGAGCGCTCTTGGCCCTGCTTCACGTATCATCACACGGACACGTGTGAAGGGTGTAGGCGGCGGCCTGTGGCGTGCCCTTCAGCTTGCGCTTACCTGATGATTTGATTAAATTTATTTTATGCACTTTGGCAGGAGCTGCCTAAGTGGTGTTTTGTCTTCCTCAGTGGAGGCAATGATGTCCGTTTGTCCCGTTACTGGTGAGGTTAGTTTTAATCCGTCACCTGAGGTTGGCGGTCGTCCGGAGTTCTCCCCTGTGCAGCTACTCGCTTCACTTCCGCAAGCAGCCCGTGGTCCTCCCCGGGGAGTTACTTTACTCGTTGGGTCACGAGACTGTTTTGTGCTCACATGAGCTGCCGGTGTTCCCTTTGTAATGGACCCTCTACCCTTTCATGACCTGAGCCGAAGGCAGCAGCTTAACCCACTGAGCCACCCAGGCGCCCCTACAACTCAGCTCTTGAGATGATAATTAACTTAGCGCTTAGACTTTTGATGCCATTAAAAAAGGGATAGAACTAATTTTTGTATCTAAAATATAACAATTGCTATTTACTTTGCAGAAAGATGCTTCTGACCCTTTCAGCCTAAATGAATTACTAGATGAATTATCAAGGAAACAGAAAGAAGAGCTATGGCAGAGGCTCAAGAATTTGTTAACGGATGTGTTGTTAGAAAGCCCAGTGGCTGGGTGGCAGACGGTGGAAGTCCAGGGTGAAGACGAGATGGAAACAGAGCATGATTCAAAAATGGTAGGAGTCGTCCTTCAGATATAAAACTTGTTACCTTTTCTCTGTTAAAAATTAGTTAATGTGTAGAATTGAATTTTAAGTTAAGAAGAAACTTAAAGTTAGAAGTTAAGAATATTAGAAATCTGTTTATTAATGTTTTACTTTTCCCAATCCTGCCATTATTAGTCTTCTGTTCAATGTTGCTGTTCTTTGTGCACAAATGACCTGTATTCAAATTTTAATTCACTTTTTAGAATAAGCTACAAGTGTGGGTTGATTTTTATAAATTTAGTAACATTCACATTTCTTTTAAAAATTGTATTTTAAGTTGATCTTAAATCACTTGAACTTTGATTTTTTTTTTATTTGTAGAAAAAAAACATAGAAATAATTCATGCAGTTACATCTGTGGTTCTTGCTTCTGTACCCGTAATAAATGAGAGTGAGAACTATGAAGACTTACTGGAATGTGCGGTTATGCTGAATGGTGAGTTGAGTTTGTGATTACGTGACAAGTTCAGAAGTGGGCATTTAGCGATTCTCTGTCAAAGGAAACAGTCGTCACGTAGAAGTGGAGGTAGTAAGGCATGACTGTGCATATAAGCTCTTTTACTTCAACTAGGAAAGGAGCAAAGAAGTAGTCTTTTAAGAACAGTCCTGATGAACTCACTTAATTTAAGCCATGTGGAACTGTTTCAGGTGCTGAAAATTGTGCATTACTGAATAACGACTGCTCGTTGTTTTCAGATTTTCCAGAATGTCTTATTTGACCTACAGGACCCTGTAGCTCTTAAGTGGTAAGAGCTTATTAAGGGAAAATGGTCTGACTATGAACTCCTCAACTGGTGATTACTGCCAGAAAGTTTCAGCTCAACCAAGCATTTGTGACATTGCATTTTTTTTTCTTGAAATGTGTTATGAACATGACCTGAGGAATAATTATTGACTCTTAGGGGAGCTTTACTATTAAAATTTATCTCATGGTGCTTTTCAGGTTTTAACTAAACTGTGAAACTGTAGTTATTAATTGAGGAGGGACGCTATGAATTAGTGAGAATCTCTGATTATAAAATGTTTACATAAAACTATTTTATAGGTAAAAAAGATGCAAAACAAGTTTTAATGAGCTTTAAGAAAAATCATCTAAGTGTCCTCACCTTCACCCTATGAACTAATTAGCTCCATGTGACAAACTCTCCCGTCAGACTCTTCATTCTTGGTGCCACTTGGATTTATGTATCTGTTTTATTCAGAATTCTTGTATTGAAATACAATGTCTTATTAAGAAGTTATGTCTTATTAAGAAGTATATAAATAGTTCCCAGTGCTTTGTGAACGTCACCGCAGTTTGTTCTCACAGTCTCCAAACACTGTTTTGTAAAATGCTTAGTGCCAGCCTCGTAGTCGTTCCTTACTTCCCATCGACTCAGGAACTTCACGCGCATGTAATGGCAGACGGAAGTCTGTAGATTACAGTTATGAGCATATTATCAGTGTTTTCATTTCATTTCTTGAGCTTTTCTGTTAATAAAAGCACTGTAGGTTTGTATTCATTATAATCACCGCTTTCACTGGTTTTCCCCGGAGAGCTGGGTTTGAGGCCAGCCTGGGAAGGACAGGTGCAGGGGACTAGTGCTGGCCACACCTGGCCGGGTGGGGTTCAGTGGTACCTGTGGGTGTACTTACGTCTGGGTAGTTTGAATCCCTGCCTCTCTTAAGTGAAGGGTTGGGGCAGTGTGACCCCTCTGAGTCTTCCAGTCCTAAAATTCTCTATTCTGCTGGGTCTGCTTTTATAACAGTAGTTAACGTTTTTTTTTAAGGTAATCGTTTGTATTCTATAACTAATGTATATAAATTTCTGGCAAGTTAAACAAACTGATGTTTGCTTAGCAAACCTTTATGAGTCACAGTACTTTACACCATTAAATCTCAACTAATATCGGTTTACTCTACTAATGGGACAATTACTGTGCTCTGTTTTAGGTATTTTATATGCATTACCTGAATCTGAAAGAAAGCTGCAGAGTTCCATTCAGGATTTATGTGTCATATGGTGGGAGAAAGGCCTGCCTGCCAAGGAAGATATGGGAAAGACTGCTTTTATCATGCTATTAAGGAAGAGTCTAGAGACTAAAACAGTATGTTTACTCTTTAAAAAACATACCTTCCTTTGATAGTGCACCTGTTCACACCAGTTAGGAATTATGTTTGCTCACTAGTGGCCTAACTGCAGCTGCTTCCCCAGTTAGGGTCTTTTTAACCCAAGATGATGAGGGGTGGACAGCGGGTGCTGGTTCCACATTGCGGTCTTTGTAATTTTTTTTTTAAGATTTTCTTTATTTGTCAGAGAGGGATATAGTAGAGCAGACAGAGAAACAGACTCCCTGCCGTGCAGGGAGCCTGATGCGGAACCAAATCCCAGGACCCTGGGATCATGACCTGAGCCAAAGGCAGACACTTAACCGACTGAGCCCCCTAGCATCCCGTCCACATTGCAGTCTGATGCAGGTTTTCTCCTCTGTCTTCCGGGCTGTGTGGTCCTTGTCCTCCCTCTTGTCACTTCCTGGTACAAGGAGCTGCTCCATCTTCCCTTGTGCAGAGTTCCAGACAGGAAGAAGAGGCAGGGAGGCAGCAGGTGCCAGACCTTCTCAGACGTTCTCAACGTGTATCCATCGTCCAGAACCAGGTTGCATGGCCACATCTTTTTGCTGCAAATGCGGTTTTTAAAGGGATACATTACCACTGTTAGCAAAAGTGGGTATTAGTGGCCAAGAAGGGATGGGCTCACTGAGGCAGGTGAGTGGGAGTAGCTGTCTGTGTTAATGTGGTCCGCTGAGAGGCAGACCCACCTCGGGCTGCACGGGAGTGGACATGCGCGGTCAAGGGTGAAAGGGGGCGGGAGTGTAGGGAAGGCCTCGGGCCCACGTTCAGGGGCTACACGTGTAGGAGGTGGGCTTGTGTCAGATGGCAGTCTAGGCCTGATGAAGTTTTGGAGAGCAGATTTGAGGATTGGATTTAACTTGGTCCGTTTCTCAGCCTTTCATCTTTGGTGTCTAGTTAAGAATTTCAGAAAAAGGGGGAGCCTGGGGGGCTCAGTCATTAAGTGTCTGCCTTCAGCTCAGGTCGTGATCCCAGGATCCTGGGATCAAGCCCCACATCAGGCTCCCTGCTCAGCGGGAAGCCTGCTTTCCCTCTCCCACTCCCCCTGCTTGTGTTCCTTCTCTCACTGTGTCTCTCTCTCTGTCAAATAAACAAATAAAATCTTTAAAAAGAAAAAAAAGAATTCCAAAAAAAGAACAGTTTTATCCTCTGATCAAGAGAACAACAGATACTTAGGTTCATCTTAGAAAATTGGGCAAATGAAGAAAAGGGAAAATGGGAAGATGGAAACTCTCTGTAATTCCACTACCTAAGGTGATCATTCCTAATTTAGGGATGTTTAGGAATTTCTCTTTGTCTTCTCCCCCTCATACCCTTACTTCCTTATGACAGGTTCCTAGCAGTGACCTTCTTAGGCCAGTGGGTTTGCGCTTGGTGCGCATTTGGAACTCCTGATACACGTTGCCAGAGCTTTCTAGCAGGCTTGGCCTTCAGCACGCCCCCACCGTCTGGGTCTGCCTCACCGTGGCCTCCAAGGAACTGGCTGTTTGATGACAAAGACTACTGCTTCCTCACTTGCCCTGGGCTTGTCAGGATTTATCCTGAAGCTGTTGTTCGTTTATCTTTTTAAACTCTGTTTAAAACAAATCCATTTTCTCTTTTTGTTTAGCTTTTAAATCCAGACTTTGTTCAATGTCTCTAGTGTTTTACTCCTGTGCTGTCGGTGTACGGGCACCCCAAGCAGCATGGGGCTATTTAAGTTTCACTTCTAGTGAAGACTACTGAGTGCGGGGTTCCTCGTGCACAGGTCACGCTTCCGTGCCCTGTAGCCTGATGGGCTGGTGGCTGCCGCGCTGGGCGGTGCAGGCTCGGACTCCACATGCGGAAACCAGACCGTGGTGCCTGTGGGTGCTTCTGGGTGCCTTTGCCGTGGTTTCTTCCTTTTTGATGAATGATCCAGAGTTTAATTATTTACTATATAAAGCATTCTGATCGTAAATTTGAAATGTGACCTTAATTATTTTTTAAAAAACTAACCTCTTCCTTTTTGTGTCCTTCCCAGGGTGCAGACATATGTCGGCTCTGGCGTATTCACCAGGCGTTATATTGCTTTGATTATGACTTAGAGGAAAGTAAAGACATTAAAGATATGCTACTTGAGTGTTTCATAAGTGTGAAATACATCAAGAAAGAAGAGGTAACTAGGTTTTTCTGTTTTGGTATTTTTGTGTGCTGCTTTTTAATGGACGTTTTTCCCGAGTTACTGTAGTCACTCTTGTGCCACGCAGCGTTTTAGTGAGGCAGCCTTGCTGTCAAGAGTTGTTACATTTATTGCACATTTTTCCCCGTAGCAGTACTCACACATTTTACAAATAGTGAATTTGCAAACGTATTTCATCATTAAATCAGATGGTAAGAGGTGGCTGTAAATCCGGGGGACCTGTGATTGCACTTTGAGAATGATTGGGTGGGGGTGGGCTACCTGGGGCCTGGACGTTAAGGAGGGCACGTGATGTAATGAGCACGGGGTGTCACAGGTAAGTGACGGATCACTGAACTCTACTCCAGAAACCAACATTACACTGTATGTTCACTAACGAAATTTAAAAAAAAAATTCATTTCTTCAATGAAAGAAAAAAAAAGAATAATTAAAAATAAGGTTGAGAAAGCATTTCCCAGTAGATTAGACCTGACCCTCTGCCCTAATTTGAGGCTAAGTGGCATTGACTCAGAACCATCATCACACAGTATTCTTGACTTCTTTTCCTGCGATCTAGTCAACCCAGAGAAGCTTCTGGGTACTGCTGCACTGTCCATTTGGGTGGTCATTCCCACATGTAGCTACGGAGCACATGGACTACGGCCAGTCGAGTTGTGGCCTTCAGCTAAATACATGGATTCAAAATTCACTGTGAAAAGAGCATGTAAAATGTTCACTAACAATTTTTATATACTTAACACATATTTCAATGATAATATTTTAGATATGTTGTCTTACATAAATATATTATTAAAGTTAACAATCTTTTTTACTTCTGTGAACGTGGTTTTTAGAAAACAAAATAGTAGCTTGCATAGTTCTCTTGGACACGTCTGAATTGTTCTCGTGGGATTCCTACGCAGTCCTTTACTGAACATGGACTGTATTCCCATGCTAGGGATGCAGAGACGGTCATTGTTTGTATTACAGAGAAGAGCCTTTCTTTCTGATTGCTCGTGGTGTCACAGATACATATGAGGCCAAAGGAGGAAGTCGTCTCTCCTCCCCAAAGTAGGTGGGGAAAGATTTCTCAGAGGAGGAGGAGGAGTACTGGTTTGGAGGCTCATAAATGAAGTTTGTTCAGGGTCCTGTGGCTGGTCAGGGGCGAAAACGTGGTCATGCTTTGCCCACTCGCGTGCACTGTCTCCAGCCAACTAGCGTAAAGGGCCGCATATGGGTACTGACCATGGTGACCAAAGCCTTCAGCTCCCAGGCCAGAAAGGCTGTTTTTAGATCTCTGTTTGTTCACTTACTGGGTGGTAGCTTTGATCAGACTACTTTGAACCTCATGTTTCCTTCTGTAAGATAGGAACCATGGTGCGTCTTTCTTAGGACTCCCGAGGAGCGCACGAGGTGACGTGTGTAGAATGTTGAGCACAGTGCCTGGCCGGGACTGCGCATGTGGGAGGTGCTCTCACTGCATCATCGTTGTTGGAAAAGAGGCCGCACCTGAGGTCTGTGCCCTCGGCGTCTCCAGGACTGTGGTTGAGTCTAAGGAGAGCAAAGTAGCCGAGAGGGAGTTCAGACAAGTCCGCTGTCTTTCTAGTGACTTGTCCATGGTGCATGGCGACCTGCATGTCACCTGTAAGTGCGAGTTGTGGTAAAGACACAAATGGATGTCTGTGTTAACATCCCCCCGTTGTCTTCGGGTTGATGTCTTTTGAATTTGTGGTATTTAAACTTAGTTTCCTAATGAGTCCTTTCGTTAGTGCAGTTTCCTATTCTGGTAAAGGACAAGCACCTTGTGCTGTAACGGCAAGTTACTTGCAATAAATACTTGTTTTGAACTTGCCTGTTGCCAGCCTGGGTGCCCTGCTGTCTGTACCAGAGCGTGTTGCATTTCTGTGGATCGCAGAGACAGTCGTGCTGGACGGGTGAGCAGTGAGGAGATGATGGTGGTGTTGGTGAGGGACTTCTTGGTGGACGTGTTTTATGGGCTGTTGCGAGTGTCGGCAGGTAGTCCTGCTTCTGAGGGTCATGTGTCATCTGCTGGCACGCGTGGACTAACATGGGGAGTTTGTTTATTTGAACGTTCTAGTTTGGCAGACGCGGAGCCTCTTCACAAATCCTGTTTTCTCGTTTATGAAAGATGAAATCAAGGGACGTTCGGTTCTGTTCCACCCCAAAATGCTAAGTTGTAAGCATTCTTTGATTTTAGGTCATGTAGATAGAGCTGGAATGAAATGTTTGTGGACTGTTTAATTGAGCTTCTGGGCAGCATGGTACGTGTCTATGTATCCCTGCGGTCGAGCACAGGAGGAGATCAGGGGTGTCTGCTGCTGGGCCTCCACAGGGAGGGTCTCCTGGCCATTGCCCTGCTGCCCCGCTCTGTCACTCCAAGGCCAGATGGCTGTCCCGAGTTACAATTATGTCTGCTTCCTTCACTGGGAATAACAGACTTTCGTGTTACTGAACATCCAAAGAATTGTTTGTTTTTTAGTTATCAGGAACTTTTTATTTGGTTGCAATTTCAACATTATATCTTTTTTTTTTTTAAGATTTTATTTATTTATTTGACAGACAGAGATCACAAGTAGGCAGAGAGAGTGGGGGACACAGGCTCCCCGCTGAGCAGAGAGCCTGATGCGGGGCTCAGTCCCAGGACCCTGGGATCATGACCTGAGCCGAAGGCAGAGGCTTAACCCACTGAGCCACCCAGGTGCCCCTCAACATTATATCTTTTTTTTTAATTTATAGGGAAGAAGATTCCTTAGTTCTCTCTTCAATTGGAATATAAATTTTATTAAAATGATCCATGAGACCATTAAAAACCAGTTACAGGGATTACAAAAGTAAGTATTAAAGGCAATTAATATTTTGTGCTGTCTTAATCTGATTATGAAATATTCCATTTGACCTGACTTTTTAAAAAATTATATTAATGTGTTGGAAGCTTTAAAAATTATCTCTTAAGATTATATTATTTGTTATGTGCTGTTTACTGTGTGCTGTTGTTTTTACTGTGTATTTATCACGCACTGTTATGTCGCTGGAGAGCGCTTTCGGACATCATTCTTTCTCAGTAATGACACTGAAATTGAGATCATTAATTTGTGATCGTTCTTTAAATAGTCAAATTATTCACCAGTCAAACCTTAGCCTCGGTCGCTGTAAATTCCACGTCACCAGCACTTCCGATACCGTGTGACTGTAACGTACACTTCCAGTTCCCTGTGGACGGAGCGCTGTGGGGTGGTGGGAAGAGCCCCTCAGGGCAGGAGTCCAGGGGTGCGCTCGCCGGCCTGAGCTCCCGGCCTCGGGAAGCCCCCACAGCCAGTGAGTGCTGCTCATCAGGTGCAGCGCTCAGAGCGCGTTTGCCGGGGAACCCTCTGCTCCAGAGGTGCGCTTGGTTGCGGAGTTTCTCCGTCTGGAGGCCGGCTCGGCTGGGCGTCTGTGCAGAGCCGAGCGTGGTTCCCAGTCCCTGCGGCACAGCTTCCCTGTTCGCTGGAGCGCTTCCTCCCGTTTCCTCACGGGCAGAGTATTTGGGTTGAAACAGTTGATTTCTAAACTGGTTGAAAAATCAACTCTGGTATTTTAGGGAATCAGTCATCTGGGAAGTCAAAAATTGACTCCCGGGGGCACCTGGGTGGCTCAGTGGGTTAAACCTCTGCCTTCAGCTCAGGTCATGATCCCAAGGCCCTGGGATCAAGCCCCACATCGGGCTCTCTGCTCAGCAGGGAGCCTGCTTATCCCTCTCTCTCTCTGCCTGCCTCTCTGCCTATTTGTGATCTCTGTCTGTCAAATAAATAATAAAATTAAAAAAAAATTGACTCCCGAATCAAAATTGTATTTATAAAATTAAACATGTTTTTTTACTGAAGAATTTGGCTCTCATTATGTTCTCAGAATTTCACAGAAAATAGTAAAGTTCTGGGGAAACCTTGACCGAGAAGGGAGAAGATTGTTTGATACTTCAATTTCCCTTCTTAGAATTTCTTCCCTTTTCTCCTTCCTGCTACAGGTAGATAACCTGTCTCTGTAGGTACTTGACGGGCAATGAGTCTGTAATGGCATTTCTCCTTCTTTGCGGAAGGAGGGAGCCTGGACTGACATACATTAAGAGTGTGATGGTTTGGGGTCCCTGGCTGGCTCAGTTGGAAGAGTGTGCCCTCCTGATCTTGGGATCAGGAGTCCGAGTCCCATCTTGGGTGTAGAGATTACTAAAAATATATAAACTTGAAAAAAAAAGTCTAATGGTTTGAACTTGCATTAACTTTTTCTCCCCCCATAGATCTTTGATGGTACACATCGCGGAAGTTTATTTCAGAGCTTGGAAAAAGGCCTCAGGGAAAATATTGGAGGTATTTTCTTTTCATTTCATTAAATGTTAATATTTATTTTTGTTGTATTCTATTTACTAAATAAGTCATCGTGGATAGTCATTTAAAATCTGTGTTGAAGGGGCGCCTGGCTCAGTGGAAAGAGCGTGCGACTCTTGATCTCAGGGTTGTGAGTTTGGGCCCCACGGTGGGTACAGGGATTACTTAAAGGAAAAAAGAAAACCTTAAAAAAATTTTAAAAATCTGTGTTGATGCTTTTTCTGAAAATAAAGTCAGATAATGAGACTCCATGGGACTGAGATTTCACTGTCATTCCCATGTATTTTCATGCTCAGTCACAGACCCAGGATTCCTGCCACTCCTTGAGATGTCCCTTGTCATTTTGGTAGCTTTATTAGACCTGTGCTGTCCGGCCGTGCCCTGGGAATGTGTCCAGTGTGCGCTGAGATGTACTGTATGAGAAACACACCAGATTATGAGGATACAGTGGAGAGAGAAGAGTGTAAAATATCTATGAATGTGTTTTTAAAATATTGCTTGCATGTTGAAATGATAATGTTTTGGCTATTTTGGGCTGAACACAATGTATTACGAAAATAATTTTACCTATTTCTTATTTTTTTTAATGTTGCTACTAGAAAATTTAAAAATTGTGTTTGTGGTTAGGATTCTGTTTCTGTTGGGCCGCGCTGCTCTGGAACCTCCAACTACCCCTTATGTTTTAGTTACACTGTTTTTGAAACTATAAAGACATTCCTCTTGAATATGGCTAATGTTGAACAGCCTGTAATATCTGCGTTATGAAGATGTGGCTGTGTAATTCACAGTCACAGTAAGACTCAAAGGCCCTTTTGGAAAAATATCAGAAGAAAGTGTTTTTGTCTAATGTCCTTTATGTTTTTCTCATACTACATTCTCAAACATATTTTCTTTCCAAGAGTAAAATTTTTACTCTAAGTCAAAGAGGAGTCGTTGCTCTTCGGGGAGCAGGTGCTGACCTGGTAGGTAGGAGAGGGCTTGACTGCTGTCTGGAGCTGCCTCTGTCCACTCTGCTCCTGTGCGGCTCAAGCTTGGTTTATCACTGACTTCCACTTCTAGAGATAAAACTTGATCGCTCGTATCTCTACTGACAATACGATCATTTTGCAGTGTGAAATATTGTAGAGGAAAGGGCAAAACCAGGACATTGTTGTACGTTTCTTCATTGTTTTATTACTGCATGATACTTGGTTTATGGGAAAGAATATTTGTCCCCCTTTTCTCCAATAGTGGTTTTATTTATTTATTTAAAGATTTTATTTATTTACTTGACAGAGAGAGCTCACAAGCAGGCAGAGAGGCAGGCAGAGAGAGAGAGGGGGAACCAGGCTCCCCGCTGAGCAGAGAACCCGATGCGGGGCTCGATCCCAGGACCCTGGGATCATGACCTGAGCCGAAGGCAGAGGCTTTAACCCACTGAGCCACCCAGGCGCCCTCCAATAGTGGTTTTAAAAATAGATATTTGTAGGGGTGCCTGGCTGACCCTGTCGGTGGTGTGTGTAACTTTTGATGTCTGGGATTTGAACCCTTCTTAGGGTATAGAAATCACTAAAAATGAATAAAGCTCAATTTTTAAAAATAATGGGTGTTAGTCGTTAAAAACAACCATTGGAGTCTGTACCAAATTAGTGCTCTTTGTACTTCTCAGGCTCTCCCTCTCTTCTTCCCTCCCTCCAGATTTTTAAAGGAAGTTCCAAATGTGAAATTGCATATCTGTGTACTTCAGTCTGCATCTCTAAGGAATATGGTTATACAATGCCATTAACATACTTAACAAAATTAACAATTTCTGGGTGTTTTTGAAAATATTTAAATTTCTCTGCTTTGTTTCAAAGGTGTCTTTTTTTGTTTTTTGGTTTTTTTTTGGCATCAGGATCCCATAAGTCTCCTATGGCGTTTGCTTGTTATGTCATTTAACTCTCAGAGCATTCCTCCCCCCTCGTGTTCTGTTTTTAAAACTTGTACCATTCATGGGTATTTTGAAGTAACTGAGTCAGTTGTCCTGTAGAACGTCCGTATTCTGGGAGGTAACTCTAAAGGTTCGACTTCTGTGGCACAAACACTCAACAGGTCGTGCCGCACACCCCACTTCGTCACGAGTCCGTGTGGTTCCCCGTGTGTGGTGATGCTGAGGTTTGTTATTATCTTCGGGTGAAGGGAGTATTTCAGAGATCATGAAGGAGGCTGGTGGTAGTAGCAGGCTTTCCTTGTGTCCTTCCCTAAAGCCATGGGACCCCAGGAGTGGGGCAGAGTGTAGGGTAACAGACCAGAAGGTCCACTGGGCTGCTCCCAGCGGTTGGCTCTGCCTCCTTGCCTAGCTCTGGAGGTATGTAGGTGTTGTGATCTAACCGAAGAGCGACCCACACCCACCCCGAGCCCTCTCCCTCCCCAAGGTGGCCCTCAAGGAGCTCGTTTCAGTCACCCAGAGTCCTGGCCCCCACCTTAATGTAGTTCAGCATCACCCTGGGGAGGCTCTTGGACAGATCCAGTCTCTGAGGTCTTCTAGGTCAGCATGACTTCCAGGAGAGGCCCTCAGGCCACGCTGAGTCCCTGAGCCGTCTGGCTTGCACGAGCCTCAAGGGGTAGGGGGAAGCTTGCCTGCTCTCTAGCACAGACTTGATGTTTCATCAAAGATAGAGGAAGCTAAAGGAGTGTCAAAGGTAAAGGGGTTCTAAGAGGGATAGATTTAAAGCAGGAGAGCTCTGAGCAGCGGATTCTGGTGCTTTCCTCCTGGAATAGAGGATGAGTAGAGCCGACTCCAGCGGCTGTGCTGCCCGTCCCCTCATCCTTCGGAGCTAACACTGTGCTTGCCGTTGCAGACCATCGAGAACGGCTGCATCCAGGACTTCATGCACCACGGTGTCCACCTTCCACGCCGGTCTCCAGTGCACTCCCGAGTGCGCGAGGTGAGCAAAGCGCTTGCCCCAGCAGTCTTGCGTTTTTTAGATAATGTCTCATCTTCTCTGTTTTTAGATTATTGTTTATATTAATTTTTAAAATTAATTTAACCCCTCACAGGCATCAGCTTAAAAGGGCTTTCTCAGAATCTTGATATTTGGTGGCTGGCAGTTTTAACAAGAAGAAAAGTGTGTTGTTAAGAGAGTCAGAACGTTATTCAAATAATCTTTGAATTCTTTGATATAAAAATGTCCAGAATCATTACTAAGTGCCACTACCAGTTTTTCAAAAAGAATATTGAGATTATTTTTATTGCTTGCTTTCATAATCAATTTCCATTTTGATATTCTATAAACCAAATGGAATAAATGTTTGGGTAGTTTCTTTTAAGATTAAGAATTTTGTTTTTAAAAGCTAATCTCAGGGATACCGGTCAGTAGAGCGTGTGACTCCTGATTGCAGGGAACTGAGACAGAGCCGCACATGTGGCATCGAATTTACTTAAATTAAAAATGTTTAAAAAGTTGCTCTCAAAATTTAGATATGAATTTCATACTTGTGTTGTAAATGATCTGACTAAATAAGGCTTTATTATCCGTGTCATAAAGACGCTGTTAGGTGTTGGATAATCATAATGACCTTGGCAGTAGGAATTGGAAAATGTGGTCTTTTCGGGACACAAGATCAGTGTCCTGACCCAGGAGTGATGCCGTGTGTGTTTGCTGCTGATTTTGGCAACTGTGTTTTAAGAAGCTGAGTGAACAAAGACTGTCTCTTTACTTTCTTATGTAGTAAAATTATTATTTGTAGAATGTAAATATACTAATTATATTAAGCTTGAACAGATAAGAAAACATTTCTTTACATTACTGATACTTAAGTTTGAGGCATCCAGAGAGGAAACTCAGAGATTAACGTATCCAGGTGCTGCCTGTCCCCATTGAGTAGGTCAGCTTGGGTCACTTACTTGTTGTTCCAGATTCTTTTTAGTTGTAAAGAACGGCAGCATGTTCAACTGGATGAATTTGTGACATAATTGCTTCCTTCTTGGTACCAAATAAGTGAAGACTTCTTTTTCCCCCAAGACATTTTTTTTCACATTTGGTTTTCTGCTCTGGTAGTAATTAAAATATTATAAAATATTGTAAGTATAGATTATCTCTGTTTGGTAAAACTATGAGAAATACAAAGAATTAAAAGAAAGAATATTAAATTTCAGTTTTTTAATGCATTATATTCCTGGACTCTAATTCTTATCATTGCTTATAACACACTATGACTTCTTCCTCAAATCCCTTTTTTTGGTAAACATCAAATTTGTATGATAAATTACTGATATGTTGAAGGAAGCTTTATGAAACACTTCACATGTTAATTTGAAAGTTAAAATCCCCATACTGTCGACGAAAATCTACTAATATCAGGTACTTGTAATGCTCGCCCAACCCTGTGAATATAGTGAAGCCCACTGAGTTGTATACTTCAGAAAGCCGGCTTTATGGTATGGGATTTATAACTCGATAAAGCAGTTTGACAGTCTTTCTGTGAGGAAGCACCTCGGTGGCTCAGTCAGTTGAGTGTCTGACTTGGTCTTAACTCTTGATCTCAGGGTTGTGGGTTCAAGCCCCATGTTGGGTGTGGAGCCTACTTATAAATAAATAAGTAAATAAAAATGAAATCGTCCTGGGGTACTTGGGAGGCTCAGTCAGTTAAGCGTCTGCCTTCGGCTCAGGTCATGATTCCAGGAATCTGGAATGAAGCCCGCACTGGGCTCCCTGCTCAGCAGGGAGCCTGCTTCTCCACCGTCTGCTGCTCCCCCTGCTTGGGCCCTCTTGCTCTCACTCAAATAAATAAAATCTTAAAAAAAAAAAAAAACTTTCTGTAAAGTGAGTATACCATTGATACTGAAACTTGATAATGTTGTACACACACACAGAAGAACTAGTCTAATATCACTTACCACCATCAATAAAAATTCCCAAATAAAGAATTCTCAATCAGAAGAAATAATCCCCAGACTGTAGTTCTTTTAGGGTAACATTGGTTCAGGTTCACTTAAAGTATAATCTATTGTTGGATAACCTGTTTAACTTTTATTTTCCCCTTTTCATTAATGAAGTTTTAGTTCCAGGAGTGGTGAATTAAGGAAGTGAGGCGAAACTGACTCGTGCCAACGGCGAGAGTCGGAAGAGTTGCGGGCAGATTCAGGCTAGGGAAGGGGGCGGCGGGAGAAGGACAAAGGGCTGGAGGCTGAGCGCCCACCCAGCCTGTTCTCCAGTTACTCACAAGCTTGGGGGTTAAGCTGGTACCGTGAAGGGCCACTGAGCAGTGACACCCCATTGGAGACATATGCCTGCCTCACGTGCTCGTCGTAGGTTCTTGGAACCAAAGAGACTTAGAGCCGCTCATTTTGGAGCCAAAAGGGGCCATAGAGACCATTCAGGGTGGCTCCTTTACACACACTCCTTTTCTCCTTCACCCTGAGCGTTAGAAGTCTCAGTGAACTTGTTTTGAGGTTATTTGTTGGTAGAAGAGTAGAAACTACAACCCAAACCTTTTATAACCCAAGGTCATTGATCTTTTTTATTTCTGCCATCGGCTTCTTTCATGTGATTTCTCTCACGTGTCTAGTACAGTCAGTACATCCATCATGGTATCTTCTCTTAGAAAGGATTGTCAACACTTGTGAAGCACGAGCATCTTTTTGGTGGAGAGGACAACCTGCCTCTCTTCAAAGTAGGATTTTAAATGCTCTCTTTAAAAACGTTACCTTTTTTCCTTTTTTTCTTTCTTTAAGATTTTATTTATTTATTTGACAGAGAAAGACACAGCGAGAGAAGGAACACAAGCAGGGGGAGCAGCAGGCAGAGAGAGAGAGGGGGAAGCAGGCTCCCCGCTGAGCAGAGAGCCCGATGTGGGGCTCGATCCAGGACCCTGGGATCATGACCTGAGCCGAAGGCAGAGGCTAAATGACTGAGACCCCCAGATGCCCCAAAACAACATTACCTTTCTTTTCTTCTCTTTGCTCTTAGGTGCTGAGTTATTTTCATCATCAAAAGAAAGTTCGTCAGGGAGTGGAAGAGATGCTTTACAGGTTATACAAACCCATCCTCTGGAGAGGACTAAAGGTACAGCTATTCGACATCCGTCCGTGTTGAGAGCATGCTAACTATGGTTTGGGATTTATTGTGCTCTAATTCAGAATTGTGATAAGGCAGTATAAATAAGACTGGAAGCTGGGGGCTTTGTGAAATTTGGGGATAAGTGTCTTTTTCTATCATTAAAAACATTTTTAGGCCCTTTAGACTGGGACTTTAAAATGCTTTCAGCTGACTCCACAGCCTAAATGGTGGGAAGGGGTCTGTCGTGCCACGCAAACCAGTGGAAACGTTGTGGGTCTGCATAGTTGAGGTGGACCATCCTGGCCCTCAGGACCTTCTACAGACGACTGACACACAGGATGACAGCCTTCCAGGTTCACTCCATGCCGGAGTGAACATGAGTAATTTTCACCGTGGTAAATCTAGTGTTGGGAGAGAGAGAGTCACCGTTTCTTAGTGACAGAGGGTGGACTTTGAGGTGAGGAATTGGGTCTTTATTTATTTTTTTTTAAAGATTTATGTGTTTTAGAGAGAGAGCATGTGAGGGAAGAGTCTGGGGAGAGAATCTCAAGCAGACGCCCCACTGACTAGGGAGCCCAGTGTGGGCTCATTCTCGTGACCCATGAGGTCATGACCTCAGCTGAAAGCAAGAGTCGGAAGCTTAACCCACTGTGCCCTGCAGGTGCCCCCAAAACACATGGTTTGTACTCTTTCTCTCTCCCTTTTTTAAGTAGGCTCCATGTATGGAGCCCAGTGTGGGGCTTGAACTAAAGACCCCGAGATCCAGGCCTGAGCTGAGATCAAGGGTCACATGCTAACCAGCTGAGCCACTCGGGTGCCCCTGGGTCTTTGAATATCTGTCATTATTGAGCCAAGAGTTTGGTTTAGTTCACGGAAGGTCTAAGTTCGGTCAGTTAAAAGTTAAAAGATTGTGGTTGTCTTTAATTTGTAAGTCTGTATTGAGATACTTCAGAAGCGTTATTTAGAAAATCTGCCTGGAAGCCTCTGAATGTTTGCTCCTTCGACCCTGAAACACTCTTTCCTTATTCTAGGCCCGAAACTCTGAAGTCCGGGCGAATGCTGCCCTGTTGTTCATTGAAGCATTTCCTGTTAGAGATCCAAATTTCAGTGCTGTCGAAATGGACAGTGAAATTCAGAAGCAGTTTGAAGAGCTCTATGTACGTACTGTGTGTGGCTGGTCCGCTGTGATGTCCCCTCCCTCTGGGCCTGGTGTGGGTGCTGGCTTCCCCTGTAACTACCTGTGTGCTGCCGTTGGATGGCAGGCTTTCCAGATCGTGACATTCTTCACAGAAATCCATGTCCGTCCCCCCCCTCCCAGCGCCTCCGGTGACAGCGCGGACCCAATAGTGTTTTATTCTTTTTCTCTTTGTCACCTTTGGAACATCTCATTATTTATTACTCTATATGGTTTTAAACGTTTACGCATATTCTTATCTCCCCAGCACAGGTCGGCAGTGTGACCTGTGGTTACAGTAGGTCCCACGCAGATTTGATTCCACTTCTTGATAGTTGTGTAACTTTGGGCAAGTCGCTCACTTTTCTGGGTCTCTCTCTGCGCTTCGGTCATGCTGGTGTTGCCCGTGGAGCAGTGTGGATAAACACACTGTGGTGTCTTCAGGCGAGCCTGCGAGCGCCTGTCGCAGTAACTTATCAAATGAGACGTGAGAACGTTAGGGTGCTGTGGGGGTTTCCCCCCTGGCTGGAAAGTGCTAGCCTTTGCTTGTTTTTCTATGTTCCCTTACATTTTCAGTGCTTCCTAACATAAGCTAAAATATACTATTTATTGTTGTAATTAGTAGAATAAAATTTTAGGAAGTGATAACAAAAATGCCATGATAAAGTTGGTTATCCATGACATTCCTATAGCACTTCCTTTTGTTTGTTTGTTTGAAGTTTCAGGATTTTTTTTTTTTTTTTTTTGAGAGAGAGCGCAGAGAAGCAGACTCCCTGCTGAGTGCGGAGCCCAGTGCGGGGCTCAGCTCCAGGATCCCGAGATCACGACCCAAGCCAAAGTCAGACACTTTACGGACTGAGCCACCCCAGTGCCCCTGTTTGTTTGTTTGTTGAATGAAAAATCTCACACATGTAGCAAGTTGAAATAATAGTGTAACTAGTTTGTGTAGACTGAGCCCTGCGCACGTCCACACGTGTGTGCACGTACATACTCGCGCCTGCCTGTAGATGCACACGCACCTAGATGACAGTCATTCCTGTTTTACTGTAAGTGCCTTAGCCGCATGCGTATTTACTTAGGATTCCCCTTGAGAATCATTAATTTTGTGGGGCTAATGTTGGTGGGCAAATCAAAACTAGATTTTGATAGTTTTTAGCCAAAAAACGATGAAAAACGTTTCCTCTTTTTTCTTTTTCTCTCTCTTTTTTTAAATAAAGATTTTATTTATTTATTTGAGAGAGAGAGAGTGAGCGAGCATGAACTGGGGGAGGGGCAGAGGGAGAAGGAGAAGCAGACCCCCTGCTGAGCAGGGAGCCTGACTTGGGGTTTGATCCCAGGACCCTTAGATCGCGACCTGATCCAAAGTCAGACACTTCACCGACTGAGCCACCCAAGTGCCCCAGTGTTTGCTCTTTTTAACCCAGGTGTCCAGATCAGTGACACTGACGTTTTCAAAGGTCTACGTGTCTGCCTGGGGTGCGGTGACGGAGTGTGTGCCGCCTGTCCAGCCGGCACGCGGGTCCTGCATTGGACCTGCCGTTTCTCAGACTCACAGGATGTGTGCGGAGGCCCTCCTGCCCCTGAGTGGAGCACACGAGCAGTCCTCCGTGGGTGTCCGGCTGGGGCTCCTGAGCCCTGGGAGCGTGGGGTCGCACATCTTGTTTTGTAGCCCACTCCCCACAGTTTCTTACTTATTTATTTATTTTTTAAATTTTTTTTAAAGATGTTATTTATTTTCTTGACAGAGATCACAAGTAGGCAGAGAGAGGGAGAGAGAGAGAGAGGAGGAAGCAGGCTTCCCGTTGAGCAGAGAGCCCAATGTGGGGCTCGATTCCAGGACCCTGAGATCATGACCTGAGCCGAAGGCAGTGGCTTCACCCACTGAGCCACCCAGGCGCCCCCACAGTTTCTTCTTTAAACCTGGAAATAATATTCTGTTGGATTGTGATAAGGTCTCAATGAAAAGTTACATAAAAAACATTTTTAGCTCAGGGGCGCCTGGGTGGTTCTGCACAGGGGACAGGGCTTCTCAGCACATGGGGTTCCCCTCGAGTTCTGTGGCAGGCCAGTGACCCCAAGGTGACCAGATAGGGAAGGGACTCCCCTCCTGGTAGCTTTCTCTCCTTTCTTCTTTCCTCTGTGGAGATATTTGAGTTATTGCTGGCTTTTCTAAGCTCCTCTGGTCCCCTAAGGCCTTTTTTGAGAGCTCTTCCCTGGCAGGTGGTTTACGGTGGGAGCAAATGCTGGGAGCTCTCAGGAGCCCTTGCACCGTCTGTGTTTATGACACCAGGTTTGGGCAAGTCTGAGCTCTGGAAGAGCGTAGGAATGTCTGGGTCACAACCGTTTCTGCTCTTCCTTCCATGAAGTCTGTTTTTACTTTCCTTCTTGTAGAAATCCCTCATTGTAGGGGCATCTGGGTGGCTCAGTGGGTTGAGTCTCTGTCTTCATCGCAGGTCATGATCTCGGTCCTGGGATCGAGCCCCGTGTCAGGCTCTCTGCTCAGCAGGGAGTCTGCTTTGCACTCTCCCTCCCCCCCCTAAATAAATGAACAAAATAATAAAAAACAATCCCTCATTTCCAATGTTACTATTTTTACGACCTTGTCATTTTGGTCAGATTTTGGGGAGAGGAAGTAAGTGCTTATCCTAACTTGAAGACTTTATTTCCCCTCATTACAGAGTAAGAATTATTTGTGCTTTTAAACTTTTGTGATAGAAAAGTCTGCACTTGATCATGGAGAGTCTGGTGCACTGAATCCCTGTGAAACTGCATGCAGTTTCAGTATCGACTGTCTCCGCGCTCGTGTTTGCTGACCCGAGCCTTACCTATTTCTTCTGATTTCGAAGCAGATGTGAGGTGTCTTCATTTTAACTCTAAATGCTTCATAGGAGTCGCTAAAACATGGGCTTTTTAAAAAAGCATAATCATACCATCATTACAACTAAAGGAAGATGAAAAAGAATTCCTTAATGCTGTCAAATATTGGGCGTTTTCTTTTTTAACCACACAAAAAATTTTAATTCTTATTTTAAGTAAATTCTACACCACATGGGGTTTGAACTCATGACCCTGAGATCAAGAGTCACATGGTCCCCTGACTGAGCCAGCCAGGCATCCCTGTGTCGTTGCTTTTGAGTGATACTTCAGTGACACCTTTCCCCGTTTTGTTTGAGTCTGTGTCTAAGTAAGAACCGTGCAGTGATCAGCCAGTATATTGATAAGACCCAGTACTGGTAAGTCCAGTAGGCTCAGTCTCTCTCTCTCTCTCTCTCTCTGGCTTACTATTTTTGTTGTTGAAGAAGCCAAATTATTATTTTGTTTCTTGCATTTTTAAAAAATATTTATTTACTTAAGAGAGAGCATGAATGTGAGTGAGAGAGCAGGGGGGGCAGGGAGGCAGAGGGAGAAGTAGCTCCTCGCTGACCAGGGAGCCCGATGTGGGACTCGATCCCAGGACTCCAGGATCATGACCCGAGCCAAAGGCAGAGGCTCACCTGACTGAGCCCCCCAGGTGCCCCGCATTCTGGAACATATCCCTGTGGTGGTGTTATGATGTTCTTCTGCCTTTTGTCTTTCCTGGATATCAGTAGCTTAGAGTTGATCAGTTATTTTTGTGGGGATTTTGTTTGTTGTGTCAGATTCTTCATGGAGCTGTTGTGTACTTCCATCCAGAGATATACACTGTCTTTCTTTTTTTAAAAAATATTTTATTTATTTGACAGACAGAGATCACAAGTAGGCAGAGAGGCAGGCAGAGAGAGGCGGGGAGGCAGGCTCCCCGCTGAGCAGAGAGCCCGATGCGGGGCTCCATCCCAGGACTCTGAGATCATGACCTGAGCCGAAGGCAGAGGCTTCACCCACTGAGCCACCCAGGCGCCCCAAGATCTACAATATCTTGTTTCTTGTTGTATTTTTTTTTTTTTTTAAGATTTTATTTATTTATTTGACAGAGAGAGATCACAAGCAGGCAGAGAGGCAGGCAGAGAGGAGGAAGCAGGCTCCCCGCTGAGCAGAGAGCCCGATGCGGGGCTCGATCCCAGGACCCCGAGATCATGACCTGAGCCGAAGGCAGCTGCCCAACCCGCTGAGCCACCCAGGCGCCCTCTTGTTGTATTTTTAAAGAGGGTGGAAGGGAGGAGGAGGGGAGGGTTGGAGGGGGGGGTGGGCAGAGAGAGAATCTTAAGCTGGGTCCGCACCTAGTGTGGAGCCTGACACAGGGCTCGATCTCACAACCCTGAGATCATGACCTGAGCTAAAATAAGAAACAGACACTTAATCGACTGAGCTACCCAGGTGCCCTCTCTCTCTCTCTTTTTTTTTTTAATAATTTTTTTTTTAAGATTTTATTTATTTATTTGACAGAGAGAGGGAGAGATCACAAGTAGGCAGAGAGGCAGGCAGAGAGAGGAAGGGAAGCAGGCTCCCTGCCGACCAGAGAGCTGATGTGGGGCTCGATCCCAGGACCCTGAGATCACGACCCGAGCTGAAGGCAGAGGCCTAACCCACTGAGCCCCCGAGGCATCCCATCTTTTTGTATTGTTAGCAACCCCTGATCACCATTTCCTGGTTTAATTCGTTAAGTAGATTTACCTTATTCTGGGCTTAGTGCATTACAGCATTTTTAGAAATTCAAAAAAGTGGTTTACGTAGGCTGCGTCTGTAGGATCGTTGTCTGCGTACCTCACTGAATGTGGGGATGGTATTTGAGACTCTGCTGTTGGCAAAGTCCTGTAGATGGAATTGACAGATATGGTCCCACACATGTCTGGATTCTCCTCTTTAAGTGCTCAGCTATAGAGATGGTAAATAATAAGAGGTATGTGAGTCTGACTAGGACCGGTGTTTCTGTGACTTGAAATGTCTGCTACATTGTAAATGCATAGAGTACTAATGTGTAGAGCAAATACTGGTATAAAGGAGCTGATTTAAGATTTTTAAGTCTTTTCCCCCTCCAACTTACAGAGCCTGTTAGAAGATCCTTATCCAATGGTCCGTTCTACAGGGATCCTTGGTGTTTGTAAAATAACTTCCAAATACTGGGAAATGATGCCTCCAACCATTCTTATTGATCTCCTCAAGAAAGTAACTGGGGAACTGGCATTTGACACAAGCTCAGCTGACGTGCGCTGTTCTGTCTTTAAGGTAGTATTTAAAATGACATAAGCAGTATTTATTTATCATAGAATAATTAGAAAATACAGAGAAAGAACAATTTTTAAATTACCCATGATTCTACTGTATAGGTATGCTACTATGGACATTTTTGTTGTACATCCAAAGTAACAGTTTTAAAAACCAAACTGAAAGTGTGGGCTACAAAAAAGGCCTACTTGAATAATTCCAGTTTCTGGTGTATAGCCTGGGTGGGTGGTGCTCAGTGTTTTGTTGTGTGTAGTACTTAAAATTTTTTAAGTTATACAGTAAAATTGACCGTTTTGGTATACCATATGTACTTTTAACAAGAACCTACGGAACTGTCCTTTGTCCATCATCCGGTGTCAGCGGTTATCAGGGACACATGTGGTCTGGCTTCATCTTCAGCCAGTCCGTCGTCTCCCACTACTGATTACTTCGAAACTGTATCAGCTTGTCTATAAATAATTCAGTGTGATGGCTGAAATACAAGGTCTTGTCCCATTTAATGATGATAATATCGTAGCGTGGTGGCAGGTGGTGACGACGCTTACCATCAGGAGCACAGCATGACGTGCGGAATTGTCGAGCCGCCATGCAGTGCGTCTGACGTGAGTGTCACATTGTGTGTCCACTGTAATTCCTATAAAAAAGAGGTCTCTTTAAAAAATCCTTTTTCCTAATAAATGGAAAGCAGAGGTGGAGTGTATCAGATCTTCTGGCTGGTGACTGGTCTGAGCACGGGCCGGGCACGCGACCGCCCGTCTGAGGTGCGTGTGGCTGTGTTCCCACAATAGGGAGGCTCTGTGCCCTCTGACTTTCGTGCAGGATGGAGTCAAAGATAAGAGAATTCATGGGCTACAAAATAAATGTGAAAGGATCGTTGGATCCGACACAAATTGGCTTTGGAGCTCTCTCCACCAGTAGTAGTTCTGTGTCTTTCATCTCTAAAAAATCCCTTAAAATTTGGCTAAGAGAAAGCATTGCAGGATTATTTTGTAACTGCTTTAATTTTGTTTGGACAGAACAACGGATGAACTGGTTATCAGTGTTGAAACTTTACTAATTCATTAAAAGTACGCTTTTTATGTGAACCTTTTAGGAAAGTGTTACTTTCTGTAGGTATATTTATTTGTTTCACTAATAGTTCACTAATAAGGATGAAACGGAATTATTTTAACTTTTCATTGTTTATGTTCTAAATTTGAATCGTTTATATTTCTCCTTTTTGGTAGTGTCTGCCAATAATTTTGGATAACAAATTAAGCCACCCGTTACTAGAGCAGCTTCTGCCAGCGCTGAGACACAGTCTCCACGACAACTCGGAGAAAGTGAGAGTGGCTTTTGTTGACATGCTGCTGAAAGTCAAGGCCGTGCGGGCTGCTAAGGTAGGATAGGCAGGACTTTATCACTGAAGAAGACAAAGTAATTTTAATTCAAGAGTCTTAGTAATCACACTTAAACCAGTCATTGTCTGGTCTGTTCTGCCAGTTTATTGCATCATAAAATTTATTTTGTGATTTTCACTGAAGTTCCTAGAAATCTCATCGATGTGTGTTTTCTTTTTGAAAGACAATGTAAGCAGCCCCCACCTTAAATTATATTTTTATCATGTCCGTGAAAGCTTTTATTCAAATATTGTAATACTTGGCACTCAGTAACTACTTAATATTACTGGGAGAACTCCCTTCACCTTTTACAGAAGAAAGCAAGGAGATAATTGTGTTATGATGGACATTTGAACATGGTGTAAACTTTTGAAGTGAGGGTCTACTCTTTTAGCTTGAGTCCTATCAGTTTTTGGCAAAAAACGTTAGTTAGAAGGTTTTTAACTTCGCTTGATAGCACTCTATCTTTTCTTCTTCCATGCGGTATTTTTCTGAAATTTACTTTAAAACGCTGGTTTGTCCCAGCATAGAGTTTGGGAGCTACCTGTCCTATCCATTAGTGTAGGGTTAGCCACACAGACCTATGGTGTGTTCATGCAATGGAAGAATGCTGTGTGGCCGTGAAAAGGAATGAGCTCATGCGGAAATTCCACGGGGATAAGAGTAAAAGCAGGTGTAGATGTGTGTATTGTGGGCCACCACTACATATGTATGTATTTGCTCAGATGGTGTAAAATATTCCTAGAAGGAAATGAGAAATTAGTAACAGTTGCCTTAGGTGAGGGGGATTGGATGTCTAGGGATGGGGGACTGGGGAATCCAGAATACCTATTTTTTGTTTTTTTATGGTTTTTATGAATTTTGAACTATGAGTTTTTATTACAAACTAAAAACCAAAGACTATTTTACATGACCTCTGCAGCACACATGCCCCAAGTCACACCCAAGTGCCCATCCATGGTCACTTTGTTGGAAGTCGTTGGACCGCGTGCGGTCTGTCTCTGGGCTCCACTGTGGCCCTTCCACGTGTTTGTGGGTCCTCAGGCCCCGGGCTGCGCTGCTGCAGGCCCCCGTGAGGTCTGGGAGCATGCGTGCCCCAGCTTCGTTACTCCTGCAGCGCTGTTGGGCTGCTCTAGGTCTTCTGCGTTTCCTCATGTATTTTAGAATCTGCGTGTCCATTTTAACAAAAAAGCCGGCTGCAATTTTTTCCCCATTTGCTATTAACAGCTTATTAAAACAGAGTAGTTCTGAATCTGAGATGGAACTTTTGGCTTAGTGTGGTGTTTGCCGTGCAGAGGACTGTTGTGATGACTGACGAGGAATGGAGAGAGGAGCGTTTTCTCTTTACTTGAGGGTCTACTCAGGACAATTGGAGGAGACCAGATAAGATGAGGACAGAAGTTCTTTGACCGGGAAGTCTGGACTGTAGGAGAGTAGCAAGAAGAAAGCATGATGTCGAACTGGGGTGCTTTCATCTTCAGTCTTACCTGTTCAAAAGCCAGGCCCAGAGTGATTTAGCTGTGAGAACTCGGGAAGGGTCGGGAGGCAGCTAACTGGAAGTGGGAGTGGCCGATCGTCCATGGTGTCGGAACGACTGGGGTCCCCTGCTGCGCCGTCACACGCCGCTCATGTTTGTGTTAGTAACGCACACACAACATTGGAGCCAAAGACCAGTTACCGATTTGCTGTGGTCTTGTCTGTCGGAGAAACCAACCTGCTGGTGATGTGTTTGGGTAAAGTAAAACCTTGGGTAATTGAAACAAATAACAGAATCCCGTGCCAATCAGAATTGTTCTGCATTATTTAAGAAAAGTGAATCAAAGAAAAACAAGCTAATATGGGGAGTTTCTGGAAAGGAAGATGTGCAGGAAATGTTAGTTGTAAGAATCACCCCGGAACCTTGGCATTTGGTAATAGTGCCAGTGGCTAGTTCGCATTCGAGATGGTGTAGTCTCCGTGAAGGCTCAGGAGTCAGCCTTTTCACTGTGACTGGGGACAGACCATGGAGAACCTCTCAGGCTGGCTCTGTGGCTGGGGCTGTTGTGCTGGGACCTGGGATGTTTCTTGGTTCTCTCCTGCAGCCAGGTTGGAGCTCTGAGGTCTCGAGTCTTGAAGAGACTTGCTTCCCTGAGTCCTCAAGTGGAGGCTTTCCCTTTCCTCTGGGATGTTTCCTTCTTTTGCTGTGCATGTTCTGAAGTTGGCGTTTACTCACCGCAGAACTGACCCCTGAGTCCTCGCATGGAGACGATGTGATGCTCCTCTCGAGGGCGCTGTCGGCTAGAGGGGCTCAGCGCTCTGGAGCCGTCTGCCTCCGTTCTGCATCAGCGCAGGGCTGCACACCGTTGTCACCCATCTTCTGTGATGTTGCCGGCAGCACAGCGCAGCAGGTGAATGGCGAGCCCATTCGTTGGCCGTTTTGGTCTTGGGTTGAATCTGCTTTTGCAGTGGTTGTGAAATCTCACTGCAAAGCTAGGTGTGCTTGAGTGTTTGGGCAAGTGTTTTTTGCTGGCTTTGTTGTTAGCCACAGGTGTGGTGTTCAGGATTACACCTTAGAGCACTCACATCCACAGCCACACAACCAGTAGCCCATCAGAGTGGACACGCGGGCAGGAAGGGAGCAGGGGAGGTGAGGGAAGAGGGACGTCGTTAGAGCCGCCGGACGGATCACACTCAACACTGCCTTCTTCTCCTGAACCTTGAAAGTACCGCCTCTCACCCTTGAGTAGAAGTCTCCGGTCGCCTACCTGCCAGCTCACTTAGCTTTGTACTTAGCTGACGGTGGGCTCTCCGCTCTGAAGCCACCCGCCTCTGGTGGGGCAGGAGCTGAGAGCTGGGCCACCGTACCATCCTGTGTGCCTGACTCACGGCTGGCAGCACGGGGGTGCCTTTGCCTGCCCAGTACCACTGTGAGTAGAAGTGTTTGGTGTCTTTGCTCCAGTAACTTTTTCCGAAATGCCAAGAGGTGTGGAAGTGGAAGTGTCCCGGGGGTTTCTGGGAAGTGACCTGTCGTGTCAGAGGCTCAGGGCTTTCCTGCGAGGGGAGGTGCGGACGTGGTCTCCGGGGTTTCCAGTAGAGGGCCACTCTGACCTTGGCGTGAGCCGTTTCAGTGGGAGTGGAAGCCCTGCCGCTGTGGGTGGGGCTGTAAGTGGCTGAGGAGGTGGAGGTGGGGGCAGAGACAGGTCCCGGGGCAGGAGGGAAGGTGAGCTTCAAGGAGACGGAAAACTCGAGCAGAGTTTTGTGGGGGAGGCTTTTGTTTTACGAGTTGGAGAGACTCGAAAATACTTAAGTGCTGATGGCAAACTTGCCGCTGAAAACACTGGGAAGGGGACAGATCGTTAGAGCCAGGTCCTTGAGGAGAATGCATGTCGGCGGTATTTCCCTCATTGTGCAGAGGAGGGGGCTGCCGCGTGTCGGTGTTTGCACAGGATCGCCAGCAGAGAAGGGCCTAGGACAGGATTGGGACACTTCACCGCTGGGGTTGGTTTTCTTTCTACTACCACGTTTCTCTTGTCTGGAACGTCTTGCTTGGAAGCCTGGGCCTCTTCTGCAGGCGGTAGACAACTTTGAGGCTCTTGAGCAGAGGGACTCTGGGACAGCTGTGGTCGCACAGCAGCCGTAAGGTGGGCAGGAGGAGGCCGGCGTGGTCATCCAGGCAAGCTGGCCCCGGGGAGGGGAGGCAGCGATGCGCCCGAGGGGGCTGCCTGTTATGGGCCTTGGGCCACGTCAGGTGCTCCCGGGGTTCAGGAGTGATGTCTCTGTGTCTCCGACATAGGGAATGGCGTATCCACATTAGCTTTCTGTGTCAAAACTGTTGTAAGTTTTTCTCTTCACTTTTCACATTAATGCACCAAAAGTTATGGTGTTTTAGGAAGTTTTTAAATTATGAGACTGGTAATTATAGTTATCATTTGAGAGTCTACACGAAGCATGATACTAATTCGTTGTAATTAACCCTCCCAACAGTGTTCTACTTTGTTTCCTTATAAGTCCGTGCTTTTTAAAATATGGATTTATTCTAATTTCTCTACGGAAGAGTCACGGTTTCTGGTCCAGTCATTTAAAATGAGTTTTCTTGAATATAAAGATTAGTTCCTTTTTGATTTTTCTCAGGAAATTTTGCTTAAAGTATTTCAAGATTACAGAGGCAGTTGACTATTTCCTGTGTGTGTGCTGTACGCAGTTTTGGAAAATCTGCCCCATGGAGCACATTTTGGTGCGTCTGGAGTCCGATTCCCGGCCCGTGTCCCAGCGCCTGGCGCGCCTCATCTTCAACTCCTTCCTGCCCGTGAACCAGCCCGAGGAGGTGTGGTGTGAGCGCTGCGTCACGCTGCTGCAGATGAACCACGCGGCCGCCAGGAGGTTCTACCAGCACGCCCACGAGCACACCGCCTGCACGAACATAGGTGCGGGCGCCCGCGGCTCAGCGCCCCTCACGTCGCCTCCCCAGCGCGTCATCAATGTCGCGTGGCCTCCGCGCGGCTCGTGCTAATCAGCTTCACGCTTTTAGTGCATTTCCTAATGATTTCCTTTAAAATAATACTTTTAATTGTTTGGGATTCTGATTTTACTGTTAAATATTTCTGTTGAAGAAACATGTATATTAATTACTGATTTGTTTTAACGTTTTAGCGAAACTGATTCATGTGATTCGCCATTGCTTAAACGCCTGCATCCGGAGGGCTGTGCGCGAGGGCCACGAGGGCCATGAGGAGAGGGAGAAGGAGAACGTGAGTGTGGTCAGGCTTGGCCTGGCTGAGCCGCGCCTGCGGCCATGTTACCTCAAGGAAGAAAGGCCCCCGTGCCCCGTGGCTAGGGAGGGGCAGAGCACTGGCATTTCCGTAGACTGTTACATCGGCAATATTTTGATTTCCCATTTATTTCTTCAGTATTGATAGATAATTCAGTGGATTATTGTAGGGGATCATAAATAACGTTTTTGAAAGAATTGCTCTGTATCCTTTGTAGTTCATTGTGGAGTTTGGGTAGGATTTAATACGGAGGAAAATTTATTACTGGTAACACCTTGTCCCAAATTTTCTCTGCCTTAGGCTTCTCTGTATACTTCAGTTCGGCCTGGGTGTAGTGTACACCTGGATTGGATTCTGGATGTTACCATATTTTGTAATTAATGGGTGTTAGTGTTAAGGATTTACTCATAGTCACTGCTGTGAAATTCTACTAGAAACATCTGGGGGTTGAATTTCTAGGAATGAGGTTTATTTAGAATTGTCTTTTCTCTCTCCCTACCTCCGTCCTTCCCTCCTTCCTTCCTTTTCTTCTTCTTCTTTTAGAAAGAGAGAGAGCACAGGCAGGAGGAGGGGCAGGGGGAGTGGCAGGGAGAGGCAGAAGCAGGGAGAAGCAGACTCCCTAAAGAGCATGGAGCCCGATGTGGGGCTCTATCCCAGGACCCCAGGATCGTGACCTGAGCGAAAGGCACTTAACCAGCTGAGCCACCCAAGTACCCCTAGAATTGTCTCTTAAAAGGTAATTAAATTGGGGCCCCTGGTGGCTCAGTGCGGTTGAGCCTCTGACTTCTGATTCCGGGTCAGGTGATGACCTTGGTCGTGGGACGGAACGTGAGTCCACTCTGCTCTCAGCTGGGAGGTCTGTTTGAGATTCTCTCTCTCCCTCTCCCATTGCCCCTTCCCCTGCCTGTGTGTGTGCCTGCACACACACTCTCTCTCAAATAGATAAATCTTTTAAAAAATAAATTGAAAAATTTTTAAAAAGGAGTTAAAGGGACTGGTTAGCTATTATTTCTTCAGAATCCAGAGTGACCACTTACAAGAAATTGAAGACTCAGACACATTATTTATAAGCAGTATCTTAAGCTTTTAAACAAGCTCTCACGCTCATGTACATCTAAACTAAAACTTGGGGGTAGTTTTGTAGTACACAAATAGATTAGGTAACCAGCCCTTCAAAGAAGTTGCAAGAAACAGTCTGTCCTTTTGCTAAGACCTAGTCCTGCGTGTAGGCCCCAAGGTGAGGTCCTTTCATCAACCTGACCCTGCCTCAGTCCCAGCCTGCATCCCACTGCCTCTGACACAGGCTTTTTCTCGGAGAGAGATTGCCTGGTTGGCTCACAGGTCTCATGCTGGCCTCACGACTCCTGCACACATCCCCGGGACACTTGTGCCTGTGGGCTCACAGCTGGAAGGCTACCACTCCACCAGCCTAGACCCTGTTAAAACAAGTCCTCGTCTCTATCCCGGTCAGAGACACAGGTGTGGAATCAAGGAGAAAAACGCACAGAACGAGTGGAACTGGGTTTCATCCTGACCGTGGACCCCGGCTAGCAGTTACAACCACTCACAGACCTCAGCCTAGATTTGGAGAGCCTTCCCCCCAGGGCATTTGGAGTTGGTTCTGCTTTTATTTTGGGTGGAATTTAAGTTCCTCTCTTCAGGGTTTTCCCCTTAGTATGCAGATTGTACAGGCAGAGCTTTTCAGGAAGGTGACCGCCTTGCCTTACATCGTCAGAAACCTCCGATGGAGAGGCCGGCCTGGCGGCCTCACTCCATGGTTCTGGAGTGTCCGGTCTTGGTGTGGGAGACGGTGGGAGTGAAACACAGGAGCGAGCACAGCTTCTCTCAGGGCCACCACTGTGAGCTCAGAGTGACGGTGAGAACAGTTTTGCAGAAGAGCAGAGACATAGTTTGTGATGTACTCGTTGAGAGGCTGTTACATTTTACATTACAAAATTTGTAAATGTTGATGGAACCCTCCACCCCATTATTAAAAACTTAGGTGTTATTGAGAACGCTTGCATCTTATAGCACTTTGGGTCAGTTTCTGTACCATTTGAAAACACGAGAGTTTAGAAATATGTAGGTCCATTATAGCTTATGCTAGATAAGAAATACACTTTGTCATGTGGATATTCTCGTTCCAGGAATGTTTATGTGGCTAAAAGCCAAATTTTTAAAGTTGTTCTTTTACTTTTTCTAATTGCTAACCACTAAAAATCAAAGATGTTCTCTGCTAAAATAAAAAGTTGGCTTCCAGCTTAGAAACTTAGCACATTTTTGTAAGGAAGTAGTGGTAGCTTTTTCATGAGACTTTCATGATAAGGCTGTTGTGCTAAACATTGGAATGGGAAAAAGTAAAATTAATTGCAGAATGGAATTTCGTCAGTCTGTTACTTGTTCTTTCAGTAGTGTCTAAGCCTTTAGTAGTTTTATTTCTTTTTAAATTTGTCCATAGCTCATTCAGAATGTTAAGTGCATGATGAAAAATCTAGCCTTGGGGCACCTGGGTGGCTCAGTGGGGTAAGCCTTTGGCTTACTTCTGCCTTCGGCTCAGGTCATGATCTCAGGGTCCTGGGATCGGCCCCGCGTCGGGCTCTCTGCTCAGGGGGGCCTGCTTCCCTCTCTCTCTGCCTGCCTCTCTGCCTACTTGTGATCTCTCTCTGTCAAATAAATAAAATCTTTAAAAGAAAAGAAAAATCTAGCTTTATGTAAAAAGTACCTTTGCTTTTTCTGTGTATTCCTTAAATTTCTTTTATTTTTTTTTAAAGTTTATTTATTTAGGTAAACTCTGCAGCCAATGTGGGGCTTGGACTCACAACCCCGAGATCACTACTCACATGCTTTACTGACAGCCGTCTGGGAACCCCAAGTTTGTTTTCTTTTAAACTATCTTTTTCCATTGTGTTTGAGTAGATAGCATAACAGTACCGGTGCCCGAAATGAATCTTCTTTTGCATTTCAACGTAATCGCTTTTCAGGAAATTGTAGTGGCTCTTTGCAGGTTCAGACTCTCTTTGGTACAGTCCTGTCGTAGGGTTGGCTAGCACACTCCCATCAGTGTGTGTGTGAGCTGGTTGTGTTCTGTGCAGAAGACTTGCCAGAGTGCGCTTGTGGCTTCGGTGGAGCACTCAGAACACAGCAGCGAATATTGCTCACGACCAGAAGCTCAGAAGATGTGAACGATGTGTCATTTTAGAGCAAACTAAGGAAGCCAGAGATTGAGTGGGAGTCGGTCACCATCAGCCCTCACCAGGTCTGCAGGTGGAGAGGCTGGGAGACAGCCTGGGGTGGTCTGATGGGCCGAGTTTGTAGCTGAGTTTCAGTAGCAATCACATCTAGGTAAATCCCTCTCTCCTCGCCCCCAGTCTGTTCACATCAAAGTTTATGGCAAGAAGTGACAGCTTGCTTGGCGAGGATGCAGAGAAAGGGGAACCTCCTGCACTCTTGGTGGGAATGCGAGCTGGTGCAGCCACTCTGGAAAATAGCATGGAGGTTCCCCAAAAAGTTGAAAGTAGAGCTGCCCTATGACCCAGCAGTTGCACTACTGGGTATTTAGCCTAAAGATACAAATGTAGTGAACAGAAGGGGCACGTGTACCCGAATGTTCATAGCAGCAATGTCCACAATAGCCAAACTATGGAAAGAACCGGGATGTCCATCAACAGGTGAATGGATAAAGAAGATGTGGTATATGGAATACTACGCAGCCATCAAAAAGAACCCCCTAAAATCTTGCCATTTGCAACGATGTGGATGGAACTAGAGGGTATTACGCTAAGCGAAATAAGTCTATCAGTGAAAGACAATTATCATACGATCTCCCTGACATGAGGAATTTGAGAGGCAGAGTGCAGGGTTTTGGGGGTAGGGAAGGAAAAAATGAAACAAGATGGGATCAGGAGGGACATAAAACATAAAACTCTTAATCTCATAAAACAAACTGAGGGTTGCTGGGAGGTGTGGGGGGAGGGACAGGGTGGCTGGATTATGGACATTGGGGAGGGTATGTGCTATGGTGAGTGCTGTGAAGTGTGTAAGCCTGACGATTCACAGACCTGTACCCCTGGGACTAATAATACATTATATGTTAATAAAAATAATTAATTAAAAAAAGTGACATCTTACAACAATTCAGAAGATATAGTAGAAATATGCTCTTTACTCGCATATTGTGTCCCTAAAGACAATAGTTTATACATTTTTATTTTTAGATGGTTTTTAATTCATATAAAGTGTTGATTGAAAGGATATAGGGTTCATTTAGCATTTATTTCTGGAGTGGGCTTTTAAAGGCATTTACCTCTACTAGAGATTTTCAAATAGAAGATAAAATCATTTTCATGAAATGAAAATAGACTTGATATGCTTTACGTTTCTGCTGCAGGTTTGGAATTCTGAAATGCACTTTTAAAGTTAGAGTTGTTACAGTAGTTGTTATGACTTGATTCACAATCAGATTATTCGTATCTTAGGTTCTGGACAAAACACTGTCTGTGAGTGACGTCGCATCTATGGCGGGTTTGTTAGAGATTGTCGTGATTCTCTGGAAGAGTATTCACAGAAGTATGGAGAATAATAAGGAGGCCAGAGTCTACACCATTAACAAGTTCGCTTCCGTGCTCCCTGAGTACCTGAAAGTCTTCACGGTGAGATGCTCACCATCGCACGCCGCGTAAGATTGCTTTTGTGCAGAATTGGCCGAGGTGCCCCACATCTCACCCGGCAGGACCTGCTTGGTCCTCCGTAAGGGGGGGGGTGCTAAGCCAGTGCTCACCTGGCAGGCCAGTAGCCTCCAGCCTTTCCAGAGGGCGGAGATCACGTCTTCCCGCCGCATATCCCCAGCACTCAGGGAAATGTGCGGTGAAGTGCTCGGTTTCTCTGTCTTCGGTGGTCTGTGACACCATTTGAGAATTTACTTTGATCAGCTGGGAATTGAGAAGGAAGAGTGGGCAAACATGATACCACAGCGGCTGGGTTTTGTGGACGCTCTGAGGCATTTGATGGCGCACTGCACGCACGTGGGTTTCCGAAGGGTGTGCGGTGTGTCTGCGGGCAGAACCATGCATGGAACTTCTAACTGGGTGAAGTTTCTTGACTTCTTACTTCGGAGGGAAGTTCATTTTTCCAAAGCAAGTAGAAAAAAGACTGAGCTAGAGATGAAAATGTACTCCCAATTATAGAGAAAGCATGGTTTGAGTACAGATTGGTCCTAGGTTTCGTGAACCGTCCTTCTCGATGAATTTTATTTTGGGGCTCTTCCAAAACTGCTTGTATGGCCTTGATCCCTTAGCTGTTTGAGCCACAGTTCCGTGACTGTCAAGTCTCTGAGCTTCACTGTGTTCCTCAAATGCAACTGTGACCTGTTCAGGAAGGTAAATAATGTAACTTGCCAAAGTCATTAGTACATTGCAAAGCTCAGATAGTTACAGTGGACTGAGAAGCCAGCGTTATCTCAAAATTCTCAGACAACAACACGGAAGCCCATGGAATACTGGGTGAGAAGAGAGATGAGCAGCGCGGCCTGCAGGTGTCTGGGGACCCAAGGAAGGCAGTTAATTAATTCAGTTAATTTCAAACGGTTCTGGCAAGAGAGCTGCTCTGTACTCAGTTGCTCCGAGAACATTGTGGTCTCCTCTATAAATGAATGAACAGTCTGTAATCCAGATAGGGCGGAATTGGTGGTAATTATCAGTCTACTTTTGTAGTATTTTTGTGTTGGGAGTTGGGGAGGGGGTGGGCCCACGCCGACTGAATGCGGAGGAAGTACAGATCAGATTTCGATGTTGTCCCTGGTTCTGTCTCATGTATGTTTTGGGGAAAATTGTTAATTTTTTTCTGTTAGGGTCGACCATCTCTTATTCTCCCAGTCAACCGGGGATATTTTCTACTAAGTGTATTTGGTTGAGCCGGGTCTTCTGTCCGTGTTGTGGTGTGGCTCTGGCTGCTTCGGTGTCACTGCGGACGGGTGCTGCCCTGTGCCTCACACAGTCCTTCCAGCGGGGCCCTCCCCTCCTGCAGAGGGGGAGACAGACCTCTGTCCCGCCTGCTCGCTCCCTGCCGACCCGGCTGCTGAAACTGTGGGGTCTGGTCGGACCGAGAGTCGGCTTGGTGGCTTCCGAGCCTGTGCACTGTCCATAAACTCTTTGTCTTCCCAAAGATTTTCTTCTTATTTTATGGAAAAAGTTTTCTCTATTTCGTTCTCTTGACATTTATTTAGGATACCAAGTGTACAGAGTTAACTTTTTTCTCCTTTCATCAGTGTTTTTTTTTTTAATTTAAAAAAACATTTTATTTATGTATTTATTTGTCAGAGCGAGAGCGAGCGCACAAGCAGGGGATGGCAGCAGAGGGAGAGACATGCAGGTTCTCTGCTCAGTAAGGAGCCCGACGTGGGACTCGATGCCAGGACCCTGGGACCACTGAGTCCCCCAGGCGCCCCTCAGTATTGTTTGTAAAACAGAAGTCAGTGCCTTGAAAGCCAAGAATTTCTTGTCCACTCTGCGCACTGATGCACCCCCCAGGATCTAGCTTGGCAGTTCGTACACAGTAGGGGCTTAATAAATATTTGCACCAATGAATACATCGCACAAAGTGGTAAAATGTCATTTAAAACTTTGAAATTTCTTCTCAAACGTGAGGCTTACCAGTAGGTTGAGGGTTCCCATTGAACACTGAAAGGAGTGCTCTAGTTCCCACCGAGCAGCTCTGAACATGGGTTATTAGGAAGTTGTGTGGAGCCTTTCAAAATGTCGTTGCGTTTAAATACCCTTCTTTCCCTCTTTTTGTGCTTTCAGGATGACCGCTGCAAGGTCCCTTTGTTCATGCTCATGTCCTTTATGCCAGCCTCTGCTGTGCCCGCATTCAGGTATCCTCTCTCTCTCGGAGGGCTCGTGAGTGGGAACCCTGCCGTCGTCGTGCTCAGTTATTAACGTGACATTCAGCAGACTGTCACGCTTCCGCTTTAAGGTCTCAGTGGTGCCGGGGTTGCTAAAGAATAGAGGAAGAGCCTACGTGAGCTAAAATTTGTCCCTTTAAAATGTGGGGTGTTTGTCAAGGCCAGCGTGAAGGGACTTCGGAGACGTGCTGCCTGCGTGTGCCTGGCACGGGGCCTCCTGGGCTGAGACGTGCTGAGGGTGCAGGGTGCCCTTGGAGGATGCAGAGCGGGCGCGAGCCCAGCATGGAGGGAGGGGTGTGAGGAGCTGGTGGTTTTCTGTTGTTCTACCTGCAGACAACACTGTGGGGACAATGGGTTGGTTAAGACATAATATTGAAATTAATTGTACCTATTTTTCTTTCCTTTTTTAAAGGTAACTACTAGAAAATTTTAAATGACCTAAGTTGCTTGTTTTTGTGCTCATGTTGTATTTTTCACTGCATGGTGTTGTTCTAGAGTGTTGGTTATTATCTCAGTAAAAAAGACTCGTTTTTATTCACATTTATGAAAAAAATTAATGTTTTGAGGTTAAGCAAAAATTATTTCCAAAAAGCTAGGCATCTTTGCTCTAGAGTCCGATGGAGATGACAGAGAACAGAAAAGCAAGGGGTTTACGGACCTGGCGTGTCCTTGGTAACTTATAACTCGCGTCAGGCTGCCGTGACTTCGTGTTCTCAGGCCGCGGGGAGACTCAGTGTTTTGTGTTGGAACTTACCCTGTGTGGTAATTGCGGGAAACTGTGTGTTCTTGCGGTGGAGAGTGTCCAAGAGTTCCTACGATAAGAGGGCCTTATGTACCCTCAGTGTTTAGCTTCCTTATTTTTTTTCAACTTTTTGAGGAATGGGAAGCTGTTACTGAAATGATAGATCTCATTTTATGTATTTGACATTTTCAGTTGTGGTGTGATTTCCACATTAAGGAACCAAGAGGAAGGAGAAGCGGACAAGTGCTATAGTACTTTGCTAGACTGTCTCTGCTCCTGGGGACACGTGGGACACATTCTGGAACTCATCTGTGACTGGCTGCCAGAAGAACGGCCCCAGAGCAAGGTGTATTTCTGTCACGTTTCTTTAAAATTGCTGAATGATGGTATGTGTGTGTTAGAGATCGTATGCTTTCCTGAGAACATGTTGATGTTTTTTTTTTAAGATTTTATTTATTCATTTGAGAGACCAAGAGAGAGTAAGTGGGGTGAAGGGCAGAGGGAGAAGCAGGCTCCTCGCTGAGCAGAGAGCTCGATGCAGGGTTCGATCCCGGGACACCGGGATCACGACCTGAGCCGAAGGCAGACGCTTAACGACTGAGCCACCTGGGCGCCCAGAGCATGTGTTTTAATTGTCAGTTTATGTCTCTGTTCTTTCAGAGTAAGTCAGCATCTAAACGGAAAGTGCAAATCCATGACACACGCCCGGTAAAACCGGAGCTGGCCCTGGTTTACCTAGAGTATTTGCTGACGCACCCGAAGAATCGGCAGTGCCTGCTCTCTGCTCCCCAGAAGAAGCTCAGCCACCTTCTGAGAGCGCTCGAACTGTCCAAGGTAACTTTGTAGAGCAGCACGGGACACCCTGCAAGTGAGTCCCTGTGAGTCACTTGTGCGAGAGACAAAGTAAGATTTAAGTTTCTCATACTTGGAGTATAAAGTTTTTCCTGCTGGAAAGGAGTTGAGAGCAATCTAACGCACTTCCTGTGCAGACCAGGACAGGAAACGCAGGTGATCACTGGCAGGGCGAGAGGGGCGCCCTTTGCGGCTTCTGGGCCCGTGGGCAGCCCTCCTCAGAGCACACCCGCCTGTAGGATGACTTCTCCCCGTGCTTCTCTCGCGTGGAGACGGGAACGCTAGCTTCCCTCACAGTCCTTGGCAGGCGTTTCTAGGAAACTTTGGAGGGTGTTTCCTGTGAATTTGGTATTTCCTTTTTCCTTCCTGGCTCTCTGGCTATCTCCAGGGCCAGCCCTCAGAGACCGCCTCTGTGACCGACGCTGGGGTGGGTCACGCCAGGGCCAGAGCTGCCGGCGCTTCGCAGCTGGGTCAGATCGGGAAGGGGAGGGGGAGGTCTGAAGGAGGAGAAGGAGGTGCCAGCTGTCCAGGGGAGGAAGTGGGGCAGGCCTGGCGGCCAGGCCTGGATAGGAGGTGCTGGGATTTTGCCCCTGGACTAACTAACGTGGGGCACTGGCTGTGCTGCTGTCCCAGGTAGGGCTACCTGTGGCTCTGGGAAAGATGGGCGGGTGCATTCCCCTTCAGACTTTCCTAGTAGGGGCACAGATGATATCCCCACCGACTAATGCTGATGGGACCTCCTCCCTCTCCATGAGACAGCCAGACACAGGCTCCCAGCCGTTTCCCAGCACAAAGGGACTCCTTTTACGGTACGGGGTTAGGGAACTGTGGGCAGGCTGGGGCTCTGGCCCTGCCTGGGTGTGAGAGCATTGCTATTTGGGGGAACTGCCTGCCTTGCTCTTTCCTGGGACGGTCTGAGCTCCTAGTCCCCGGCTGGGAGCAGGTCACAATTTGCTCCAGGGGCAAATGCTTTGTGTTCTTAATCCTGGTAGTTCCTTGAGCAGTAACTGTGGGAGTTTTTATCTTGTCCTTTAGAAGGGAGGATCTGCTCCTGAACAAATACTACGCTATATGTTAGCTAACTAGAATTTAAATTAAAAATAAAAATTAAAGTTAAAATTAAAAACTAAAAATAGTAAATTACATGAATAGCATAGAACGGAGCATCTGTGGCGAGAGCAGGGGAGAACTACGTTTCTCGGATGGTTTTGTGGTGTCACTAAAGCCCCTCCACCGGCCCAGTGTTCCCTTCCAGCGGCCGCTGCAGCTTGTGTTCACGGTGTGGCGGCCACACGTGGGTGGTGACTGAGAAGCTGGAACACGGCCACAGACTTTCGTACTTTGCAGGCGGATCTGGAATCCATTTTACAGTTGCCGGGTGGGAAACCTCCCAACTTCAGCGAAGCGGTGGCCCTGCGGGCCTTCAGCCTGCACTGCCGGCTCAGCATTCACCTGCAGCATCAGGTGAGTCCGGCCCTGGCTGCGTGACGAGCACGGAGCCCGTGGGCAAAGCCGGTCCTGTTACTGATTCGTCTTTTTGTTGTCGGACAGTTCTGCTCGGAAGGGAAGGTTTACCTGTCCATTTTGGAAGACACTGGGTTTTGGTTAGAAAACAAAGTTCTGTCTTTTATCCAAGATCAAGAAGAAGAGTATCTCAAGCTTCACAGGGTCGTTTATCAGCAGATCATCCAGGTCAGAAGTCCTACAACATGGAAACCTTCTCTTCCCCAAGCGTGTGCTTCCACATTCTCTGTTTCAAAGCTGTGACTTTGGACGTGGTGTCGCTCTTCTGTGGTGTGGTGTCCATTCAACATCCAGAGTCTGTCCTTTTCCAGCACGTACACCACGTAATTCTCACGGAGTTCTACAGCTTGCATGTAATAGGTTTTCATTAATGTTTGTGGAATGACATAAAATGGGTTTCCAGATTTCTTATGGAAATAAAAATGAGAACCAATGTATCTTTATGAAAATTCCCTTGTAAAACACCTTTATAAATCCTTGCTGTAGGAGCTAACTAGTAGTCCAGCCAGATGTTAGAAGCTTTACCAGGCTGGGTCTCTTCCCCTTTTGTGGCTCTGTTTCTTGGTAAGTCACACCAGTGCGTCTGTGTCTCTTGCAGACCTACCTGACAGCCTGTAAGGACGTCGTGATGGTCGGCCTTGGCGATGATAAGTTTCAGGTACAGCTTCTACAGTGGAGTCTCCGGATCATGCCAACAGGTACCCTGCATCTATTAAAGGACTCGTTTAGAGCAACGCATGATCAGACCAGTCCCTCTCACCCTCCCTCACGTTGCTGGCTGGGACTCTTGCTTTCAGGTGACAGATACGTAACACAGACCGCCTGACGCAGCTGGGCGGTTCACAGGTGGTTCTGGGTCTGACGCGCCTGAACCCACAGTTTCTTTCAGATTCTCCCACTGGTTTGCCTGGTTGTCAGGTGACTTTGCCGTGTGGTGGGCTCGTGCCGTGGCAGCCCTGGGCCTGTCTGCTCACCACATGGGAAGTGTAAGGAGGGACGTTTAAACTCCCCTCAGGACCGCTGGGAAGTTGCTTTTACCCCGAGGACAGGGTGACAGTGGAACCTGCAGTAACTAAAACCGTGGGGTCTGTGCTTGCTGCGTACTGGGTACTGTGTTAAGTGTGTTTAGTGAGTGAGCGTGAGGTCGGCCTCCTTCCAGGTGGTCTGGGGAGAGCTGGGCTGCGCGATTACCTGGAGTGGCCTGACCAGGGACCCCAGGGCCAGATTCTCACAGCCGTGACAGCGTGAGGAGTGGGGAAGTGACCCAGGCTTTCTCTGCTGCCTCTCATGGCAGGTGCTGCTGGCCTGTGACCCCTCCCCCTGCCCACCACCCACTGGGTGCAGAACTGTTTCTGAACTGCTCCCGCTGTGTACCCTGACGCTACATCTGTTTGCTTCCCCGATCTATATTAGAAACTTGAAAATTCAATATTTAAATTTCTTTAAGCCTGTATATCTGCCGGAAGACATTGAAAATGACTTTATCATTTGTAGATTCAATGTTAAGATTTGGACGTAGAGTCAGGGAGTCCCTAGTGCAGTTTGCCATTGGTCCCTGGTGGCACTGAATGTTGTCTCGCAGGCCGACTGGGGTCTGCCCACGGGGTCAGAGGTCAGGGCTCAGGGCCAGCCACCCTGCTCTGCCTTTCCAGTGTGTGCTTCTTGAAAGTAACCTGTGCTATCCGTTAGGTTGTGTAGGAGTTGTTTTAAGTACCCACAGTAACGACTGAACGTTGATTCGAACAAATACTATTTATTTCAGAATCTGGTTTTTCTTTGTTAAATTTTACTTTCTGGTGTGAAAACATTTTTAACTTAAGTTTAATGATTGAAACAAGGAAAAATGACTTGTATTTTTTAAAACTTCATTTATCATTTAGGAATTTTTTTCTCCTAAGGACCGACTCTACATTGAATATTTATGAAATTTACGTTTCCAAGGAGTTAACTGGAATTTTAGATCTCTGATGTCCCTAGTTTCATGACACGGAGGTATCTGTTCTCCAAAAATAAGGCCTTAAGCTGCTGACTTTACCTGAACCAAACTGAAATGATCTTTGCATTTATATATTCCAACAATTAGAGGCTCACAGGGGAGAATCAACTGTGGCCATCCTTTATAATCCTGTCACAAATAGGATTGTACTTAGCAAGTTAGCAAGGTATACCCAGAGTCTTTTGTTCACGGGGCTTTTTGCTCTACTTGAAAGAGTTCTAATAAAACTTTCTAATTATAAACGCAGTCACATTTGTGTTACTAATGTTATAATATGGCTTTCTCCGTGCTGAGGTGCTCATGCTACAGGAGTTCTCCGTGAGTAGAGCCGAGTCCCCACACGTAACCCAAATATAGGGGCACCTGGGGGCCTCAGTAGGTTAAAGCCTCTGCCTTCGGCTCAGGTCATGATCCCAGGGTCCTGGGATCAAGCCCCGCATCGGGCTCTCTGCTCAGCCGGGAGCCTGCTTCCTCCCCTTTCTCTTTGCCTGCTTGTGATCTCTGTCTGTCAAGTAAATAAATAAAATATTTTTTTAAAAAATTACTTAAAAAAAAAAACCCCAAATATAAAAATCTAAGCTCACACAAGTGCAGGTGTTTCAGCTAAAATGCCGTATGTATGTTTTGAAAAAAGACCATGTGTTCTGCAAAATCTGAGACTAAAAAGTAACAGGGCCTATGGGAAAAGACAGTCTGGGGCAGGTGGTTAAGATAGTGCTGTGTGCTGGACCACTAAGGAGATGGTGATCCTCCAGAAAGTAATCAGCCCACTTAGAAAGGGGGGTTAACATTTCTAGTAAAGAAAGTGTAAGTACAGGGGCACCCAGGTGGCTCAGGTTAGGCCTCTGCCTTCAGCTCGGGTCATGATCTCGGGGTCCTGGGATCGAGCCCCACATCGGGCTCTCTGCTCAGCGGGGATTCTGCATCCCCCCCTCTCTCTGCCTGCCTCTCTGCCTACTTGTGATTTCTGTCAAATAAATAAATAAAATCTTTAAAAATAAATTAAAAAAAATAAAGAATGTGTACTGTTAAGCCTAGGGGTTTGTCTTAGTTGGAAGGTGGATGGGCCACAGGCATAGAGCCTGGGGGAGCTGAGCCAGAGGGACTTCCAGGGAGGAACACATGCCAGGCTGAGCCAGAGCCAGAGGAGGACGAGGTCCACGGACCCCCTGCTGTGTCTGCTGCCATGGGGTGGGGTAGCGAGCATCTGCTTCTTCGATGATGCCTGCAGTGGCAGACGGACGTCACTCCCAGCAGTCGCTTTGGACGAGTTCCCTCTGGAGAAGCAAGAACTTCCAAAGTCAGGGTCGTCTGTTCTGTGGAGCTGTGAATTCTGACTTACCTTTAATAACGTGTTGTATTTTACTTAACCACTGTCTACGTATTTGGTTATAAGACACATACTGCTTGAATATAATGAAATAGCTTTGAATTGGTTTTTATAGCTTTTCTGGTTTTTGTCAGAATTAAAGATACCATTTAGACGTGTGATTCCCTCATGTGACCTTGAGGATGGGTGAAAAAGGGCAGCTCTCTCGTTTGCTGGGCCTTTGCTCTTCAGAACATCGGCCTCCCCTCAGCTGTCCGTACTTGGTCTCAGAGCCCAGCTTTCTTTACTGTCCGTTCCACGGAAGTGACTCACATGTGTGGAGAGTGTGTGTCCCTGTGCCTTTTAAATAAAAGAGACTCATTTGTTGAAAGTTTCTATTATGTTTGCAGTGATTTTAGAAACTGTTGGTTCTGGTAGTGCCATAGGCCTTTCGAGGGGTAAACGCAACTGGCACATGACCAGTGATTCTGCTTACGCTAGCAGGTAAATTTGGGTGTGGGCTTAGTTTCTTATCTCTGTCTCAAGCTGAGCTTACTTTATCTTATTAATTTGTTTTCTTTTTTTTTTTTTTTTTTTTAAGATTTTATTTATTTATTTGACAGAGATCACAGGTAGGCAGAGAGGCAGGCAGAGAGAGAGGAGGAAGCAGGCCCCCCCGCCGAGCAGAGAGCCCGATGCGGGGCTCAATCCCAGGACCCTGGGATCATGACCTGAGCCGAAGGCAGAGGCTTTAACCCACTGAGCCACCCAGGCGCCCCTTAATTTGTTTTCTAAACGGAGGTTCCTTGCAGGCTATGCCCAGGTCCATTTCCTGTGGGAAGTCATAATTCCTATGTAAAGTCAAATAGGTCATACCTCTTTGTCACCTGGATAATAGTCTGTTAATGAGAAACATTATTTCCGTGCTTTCCCACATGGCAAGTTTTAAAAGTACAGGTGCACATTTTATGTAGTTTATATACGTGTTTATGTATGTAGTATGTAGTTTGTATGTTTATGTGGCATATACTTGTTATGTAGACAAGAAGGAGTCGTGCAGCATGACTCCTGCCCCGGGAGAGCGTGTGGTGTAAATGGGGAGGTGCTCACGCACACAGACCTCAGGAAGGCCAGGCAGTGCGTGTCAGGCGTCGTGAGGTCCAGAGAGAAGTGAGAAACAGGATGCTCGAGAAGCTTCCCAGGGGGTGAGACCCCTGGCTCTGGGGTTTTGGTTTGTTTTTGTTTTGTTTTAAGAGTTATGTATTTATTTGAGGGGGGAGAGGGAGGGGGCACAGAGAGGGAATCCCAAGCAGGCTTCACACCCCCAGCATGGAGCCTGACGTGGGACTTGATCTCACGACACTGAGATCATGACCTGAGCCTAAATTAAAAGTTGGATGCTACCCGACTGAGCCACCCAGGTGCCCCGCACATACTCACCCCTCCCCAGGTCTATTCTTAGAACTCAACTTAAAATCCAGATAGGATAAAAACTGAAATGAAAATTCAAGATCTCTAGAATAAACTCTAGGATTAGTCTCACATGTAGAAAATGCTTTACCAAATTATTATTACTGTTTTTTAGAAGATTTTATTTATTCATTTGAGACAGAAAGATACACAGAGCATGAGCAGGGGGAGAGGCAGGCAGAGGGAGAAGCAGACTCCTTGCAGAGCCAGGAGCCCAACATGAGGCTGGATCCCAGGACCTGGAAATCATGGCCTGAGCCCAAGGCAGATGCTTAACCGTCCGAGCCCCTCAGGCGCCCCAACACTTCACCAAATTGATGCAGCCCTGTAAAGGGAGTGATTTGGAAGAGAAAGTGGCAAACTATAAAATGTTGGAGATTTAGCAGAGTTGGCCTGTGACATTTGTAAATCACATTTTGAAAGCTTTGGGGCCATCCTTCTCAGACTTGTGACAGTAGAGCTGGTGCTAATGTTGCCATCACACGAGAAAATGACTCATGTTCTCTGATCGGCATATTCAAGGGGCCACCCTATTGGCGTGTGTAGTGAGCCCAGTTCTCAGTGACCAAGTTAAATACACTGTTACTGTTAAAGCTCCTTGTGTTACATTGAAAAGGAGCAAGTTTTTAAATCTTACTTATTTTAAAACTTACGTGTGTTAAAATTTAGATTAATCTCATCAACCTGGAATTGGCTTGCCAGTAACAATTTCTTTCCAGTTACCATAATATACATGTGTTGTGTGAAAAATGTAATAATTTCAGCTAAATTTTGTGGTTGGATAACTTTTTTCTATTCTTTCTAGTGAAGGGCTTCTTTTACGTGTCATTACTTCTGGGCATTCTGAAAGAGGTAACCGGAAGTTCCTTGATGCAGAGACCAGACTCAGACGAAGAGGTTGCAACGCTGTTTGATATGGTCCAGAAAGTATTTCAGAAACTGCTGGAATGTATGGCCCGGAGCTTCAGGAAGCAGCCAGAAGAAGGCCTGCGGGTACTCACGCCTTCCCGGGACGGGCTGTGGGTGCCTCAGACAGGGGCGCTGGGGGCGGCATCACCTCACACGCAGGCTCAGCTCGTGCTGGCTTGTGCCCTTGGGTGAGGTGCACCTCCCTGTGGGAGACAATTACCAAGTGCTGACCTTCTTGCTTGCTGACCTTCAGAGCATGGGCGGGCAGAGAGGTGGTGCTGTCTGCACCTGGGGCGGGAGGGCCAAGAGCCCCCCCTTGACACTTAGCCTTGGAGCGGGTTCTAAGCAGCCCAGGTCAGCCGGCCGCAGCAGGAGCCTTCCGCCCGGCAGGACCGGGAGCTCGTAACCGACGCGGCCGGCTGCTGGTGCCCAGTTGTCGTGCCGCAGACTTTCCACCTGGAGCACACTTCTGAGAGTGTGGGTTCTGATTATTTCTAGATGATAAGGGGCAGTAATAATTTCCACCCGAGGCTACCCTCTTGGCACATGTCAGCGTCCCCCTCGCTGGGAGTGAGAGTCGCAGAGCTGGAGGGGCTGCGGTTCCCCCGTTGGCAAAAGCTCTTGTGAAGCGGGACCCGGAGCAGCCAGTTCATGTGCGAAGAACCCGTGGGCCGCACGGGCTTCGCTGCGAGAATCGCACTGTCATCAGAGGGGGCTGCTCTTTTTTTTTCTAGGTAGTGGTTTAAAGGATGCAAATTAGCTATTTCTTTTTTAAATAAAGCTTTAAAAAATGCTTAAGGGGGAGATGTTTATGAAACACTGAAGACTCGTTTTTTTCCTGTTCTTAGTTGATAGAAGGTGATCGAGGGCTGTTGGCTGTGCTTTCCCTAGCTCACCGGTTCATCTCAGAGTTCATCTGAAATGTCTGTTTTTGATGAGTTGGTTCCAGTGTGTGTTCTGTTTATATAATTCAGTTTGTGCCAGAATCTTCTGTTTTCTCACCAAATCTTTTACCACTGGCTGTGTGACTTCTTTCTTTTTCTTCCTTCCTTCCTTTCTTTCTTTCTTTCTTTTTAAAGATTTTATTTATTTATTTGACAGACAGAGATCACAAGTAGGCAGAGAGGCAGGCAGAGAGAGGGGGAAGCAGACTCCCTGCTGAGCAGAGAGCCAGACTCGGGGCTCGATCCCAGGACCCTGGGATCATGACCTGAGCTGAAGGCAGAGGCTTAACCCTCTGAGCCACCCAGGCGCCCCTGTGTGAATTCTTTCAAAACACATGGCCTCTTGGTCTTTGACTATCAGTGGTATTTCTTCATCTTTTCTTTATTTATAGTATCGAGACTGTCGTGAAAGTAGTTCCAGTGGGCTTCGGTCCTGTCTGTCCTTTTGTAGCTGTGGTGCCTGAGAGATTGGAGTCAGCAGTGGGACGGGAAGGATTGGGCATTGATAAAGGGCAGATAAGACTGGAATTCCTGAAACCCTGGGGAGGACAGTAAGAATACTTCTCCCGTAACGTGTCTTTTTATAACCACTAAAAAGTGACTGTGTTTTCTTGTAGCTTCTGTATTCCGTCCAGAGTTCTCTCCACGAACTGCTAATGACGGTTCAGTCTTGGCACCTAGACACGCCCGTGCACCGGGGCGTGCTCTCCACCGTCATCGCTGCGTCTGTGGTGGAGATCGGTCACCAGCTACGGAAGGTGAAGTGTGTCCCTCCTGAAACCACCGTGTCTGCTTTTGACTGTCCAACTCGCTCTTCTCCACTAGTAGCTCGTTGTCATGTTTTCCCAAGTATTTTTTAAGGACTCAGTTTAGTAGGTATCTGCTTCTCTAGCCACTACCCCTCAGAGTTCGTAGGGGGCTGTGACTCGAGTCCTGACCCCTGGCGGATTTCGTTAAGGGTGTTGCCATTTTGATTAAGGCCCAGCAAGTCCTTCCATCGTGAACTTTTTTTTCCTTCTTGCGTCATAGGTATCTGCACAAGTTGATATTTTTCCTCCTCTGACGAGGCGAAAACAGCCGTGGTCAGCGGGAAACAGGGTGTGGGGGGGGCAGGTGTGCACCTGGGGCTATTGGCGTCTGATGGCCTTGCTGGAGCCGCAGGCCTCCTGTTTCTCTTGTGGGTCTAAGCATAAGGAATTTGACCTTCCGATACAGTTTAAACAGCGTGTTCACTCCTACTCTGTAAAGGACATGCATAGTTTTTTGTTTTTTTTTTTAATATTTTAATTTATTTATTTGACAGAGATCACAAGTAGGCAGAGGGGCAGGCAGAGAGAAAAAGAGAGAGGGGGGAAGCAGGCTCCCTGCTGAGCGGAGAGCCCGATTCGGGGCTCGATCCCAGGACCCTGGGATCATGACCTGAGCTGAAGGCAGAGGCTTTAACCCGCTGAGCCACCCAGGGGCCCCAATGCACAGTTTTTACAGTTAGCCTACCTGGGTAAGGATGGACATAACCAGGGCGGTGATTCAGGTCTGAACAGAAGGCTGTTTCGTTTTGCAGTGAGGTCCTTGAGACATGGAGGGAGGATGCGGTCCGGAGCAGTGGTTCAGAGGATAGAAAGGTGCTGATTGGTTCTCCTGGGACGAAAACATGGAGTCTGACAGTCAGTGACGTTGTGTCATATAGATTCTGTACTGTAAGACCAGGAGTATAGACACAGCCGACTAAACTCCTAAAACACTAACAGAATTTAGGGCCCTCCTTAAAGCTTAAGCTTGGGTTAGGAAACTAGCAACGAGATTGTACATAGAATAAGACCTGGAATTTACTCCAGTGAGCTTTGTAGCTAACAACTATAAATAGATGAGTTAGTGGCCTGCGGCAAACCGGACTCACGGTCTGTTTCTGTGAAGGACCTTCTGTCGGGCTCAGGCGCACTGACCGCTCACACGTCCTCTGAGGCTGCGGACGTGAGTCGACCTCACAGAGGCTGTTTTGCCCACAGAGCTGATCTATTTTACTACTTTATAGAACACGTTTGCTGACCTCTCTTCTGTCTCCTTACTGATTTGTCTGCTTGTTCCATTAATGAGTGCTGAGCACCGTGGTGGGCTGTGTCTCTCCGTTGGTTTGTGTGTGTGGGACTTCCGTTGTTAGGTCGTGCACTCAGGACGGCTGTGTCTTTCTGCGGCATTGGCTGTCCGACCGTCCAAGAGATGGCTTTTCCTTTCAACATGTTTTCCTAGTGTTCAAAGTGTTTTTTATAATCACCACGTGGGCAGGCCTTTTTTGGTGGGGGAGAGTCTAGTCTTAGAGTCTCTGCCTTTTACCCGGGGTGTTTAACCTATTGGATTTTAATGAAATCGTTGCAATGTTTGGGTTTAATTTGACCATTTTGATGTTTGTTTTCTATTAGACCCCCTATTTTTTCTTCTCCTGCCATTTCTTGATGAATCAGGTGTTTGTACTGTTGCATTTTATCTTCTCCATTGCCTTCATATTGTCCCTGTGCAATCACTTAGTGGTTTTTCTGCAGACTTGACTGTGTGTATTTAGCTCATTAGTCTCCCTGAGAAATCACCATGTGCCTGTGTATCCGAAGAGCCTTCAGACAACACTCGTCTGATCCGCGCTCCCTGCTCCGTGCTGCTCTGTATTTTCATTGCTGCATATGCTGAAAATCTCAAGATGCATTTTTTAAAAGATTTTTTATTCATTTGAGAGAGAGAGAATAAGCAGGAGGGAGAGAGAGAGAGAATCTGAAGCAGTCTCCTCCTGAGCTCAGAGCTAACGTGGGGCTGGATCGACGACCGTGAGATCAGCACCTGAGCCGAAGCCAACAGTCAGACACTTAACTGACTGAGCCACCCAGGTGCCCCAAGATACATTTTTATTTTAACCAGTCAATAATCATTTGTCTACAGCAGAAATGCTCTCACAGCATTCAAGAGGTAAAGCACTTTAATGAGAAACAGAGCTATTTCAGACATAATGATGACTGGACTTTAATATCCACATTAGTATTATGAACCCTCCAGAGGCGTGTGGAAAGGCCGTCTGGAAGTGCTGTGCAGTTATACCTGAGTCGAGTCCCCTGACGGCCGAGAAGTTGGCGAGACAGTGTGGGTGCATGAAGGTGGGATGGGGTGGGAGGAGATGGGCGGTGGGATCAGGACAGAAAGGCATAACCTGCCCCACCCCTGGGCCCCGCCCCTTCCAGAGCAGGGTTCTGAATTTAGATTTTCCAAGGAGCCATTTGCCTGTGGAGTTACTTGCCTCGAATGGCTGACTGTAGCACTGTAAGGTCAGTGATGAGGGTGTAAATCCAGGCAGAGCCCCTTACGTGAGTGCAGACCAATGTTACTGCACTGTGGGTGGCTCTCCAGAGGACACTGGCCATGCTGGGGAGGGGGCACTCCTGGGATCTGCTGGGTGGAGGCCAGGGGTGCTGCTCGCCACCCCGCAGTGCCGAGGATGGCCCACGGCAAGGAGTTACTCATTCCGGAACGTTGGTCCTGCTGAGATTGAGAAAGCCCAGTCCTAGATGACCAGGAGCAGCTGGTTGGACGGGCGTAAAAACACGCCATTTTTGGAAAGTGCTACCACGGTAAAGGCGATCTGACAAAGGTTTGTTGAGTGTGTGTATCTTTTCACTTCTGTCTTCAATAATAATCATAATCGTTGTAGACATTTCAGCAGCTAATAGGAACTATTCTTTTGAGTTTGTGGTTGAAGACCCGCAGCAGTATAAAACAAGTTATTAGCCCTATCTCAGTCTCAATTTAGAAAATACTGATTTGGAACTTCTTTTTAGGTTTCTAATACAGAAGAGCTCACTCCCCCCGAGGTTCTTGCAGACCTCCCACCGTTTTCAAGGTGCTTAGTAGGAATAGTAATGAAGTCTCCGGACGTGACCAGGTAACCACGTTCTCCTGACTGTCCTGACCTTCTCTTTGTGGCTGGAAGCTTACGGCAGGTTTTGCTGTGTTCAGCTCTCAAAATTCCCAAAAGTGCTTTTTTTTCCCATGAGAAAAATGTTTCACAGAATTTGCTCTCATTAGCAATTAAAAATAGTTGCATTATTTTAAAATTTTGCGTTATACTTCTACAAAGAGAAATTCTGACTTTCTGTCAAATACATCCATCTGAAAAGTCCCTGGTTATGCTTCTCATAACTAAAATCGAGCTAGAGGGAAACACTTAAAATGTCACTGTGCAGTGGGACACTTTTCACGAAGTCTACTCCCAGCACCTGCCTGGGTTCAATGCCAGTGTGGTTTTTTGGGGCACGCTGCCGTCCCTTGTCCTTGGCTGAAGCCCCGGGTTTGTTGTGGCACACGAGGACTGGTAGAGTAGAGAGGGAGAGGTTTCGCGGTTGTCTGACAGCCTGAGGAACCTTGGTAGCAGATACAGATGATGAAGGCGTTAAAACCATCATATTTGGCAACCACAGGTTACCTTTCAGTGATATGAAACCTATTTTGTGTGCATTGTGGGTATGCAGAGTAGTAGTTCTCAATTGCCAGAATGTCCCCGTCCTTGTAGCAGCGGCGTCTGGTGCTGATACCTCACTGACGTTAGTATGTGATTTGGCGTGCTTACAGTGAAAGTGGGAAGAGCTTAATCTGCTTCCCATTACCCGAAAGCTAGAATTCACGGCGGTGGGTGATATTGGCTACTTAGTCTTTCTGTAAAGTCCCAGGACGTGCCCTGCAGAATAATGCCGGATGTCGGTTTCTGTTTCTTGCAGGTCATTTTTAGATGAACTGAAGGCGTGTGTTACATCTGATGATATCGAAGGCATTGTGTGTCTCACAGCTGTTACGCATATTATTTTGGTTATTAACAAAGGTTGGTTAAACTTTCTCTTCTACGGTCTGGGACATTGCTGGGTGTGATCTCATGCAGAACTGTTGCGGGATGTTTGGGAACCCAGTTCCACACTGTGGCTCCCACAGCTCTCACAGCCGCTGTCCCGTTCTCTGAGCGCACGCCGTCTGCTGGGCTTCCTCTGCCCTGCGGACCCTGCGCTGGCCTGGAAACCAGTCCTGTCCACCTGTCACCTTCCACCACTGGACCCATTACGTGTCCCTCTCTGGGCCTCAGAACTGAATTTCTATTGATTTGTCATGTGTTACTTGTGCTTAAAAATCTGAATTTATTTTTGCTAATGATGGTATATTTTTGGTGTTAATGCTTAATGTATCTGCTTTTCTACTTAAGGCTTATACTTGCGTGTTTTGAATATCTCAGCCAGTTGAAATAGTACTGGAAAAATAGTTGGAGATATCTATAAACTGCTCACCTCAGCATAAAATGCAGTCATGTCCCTGCATATTACTGTTAAGTTTCTATGTTTTTAACTCAGTTTTACAAATGTTGAAATTGTTTTCTAAGACGTAACGTGTTATAGACCAAGAGTGCGCCCAGTACGCCCTGACACGTGGCGTGTCTGCAGGTTTAGGGTAACACTTTGTGACTGGAGTTAGGTCGGATATCAGAAAAGACTTGTCTAAGGGATTGTCCCCTGAGCGGAGGTGTGGAGAACAAGGGGTGAGGGTGAGAGGTCGGGAGCTGATGAGCTCCTGGCACTTACCAGGGACCTCAGCTTGTGCCACGTGGCGATGACGCCGAGACGTGGCTGTTGTTATCTGTGACGGAGGGACAGCTGAGGGGCAGGTCTCTGACACAGACTCAGCTGGGACCGTGTCCAGAGCCGTCCCTTAGGGCTCACGAGTTGCTTCCAAAAACGTCTGCTTGATCTTGTCCCACGCGGTCAGGGCCCGGTTACAGCGGCACAGGTCAGTGGGTAGGTCGACTGGCGGGTGAGGAGGCTCGGCCTTCCTGAACTTGAACCCGTGCTGAGAGCAGAGTATGCTTGCTTGAGCGCCGCCGTCGTGGTGAAATCTTTCCTCTCTTCACTCTGACTCCCCGCAGGCAAACAGAGGAGCTCAAAAGTGAAGGAAGTCGCGGCCAGCGTTCACAGAAAACTGAAGACGTTCATGGAGATCACCCTGGACGAGGACAGCACAGAGAGGTAAGCGCTGGACGTGCTCTGCTTGGGCTTCCCTGCTCCAAAGGTGCCCGTTAGAGCCCGTTCCCACCGCCGCCGTACGCAGCCAGGCTGTGAGCACAGAGCCGTCTCTGGTGGAAAACGCCTCGAGCATATGTTTAATTTACTCCCTAATTTGTCTTCAGAAACAAAAACAAGATTGTCATCTGGTAAATTCTACACCAGAAAAGTAAAGGCGTAAAAACTTATTTATATGGTTTTAAAACTAGGCAGGTTGTTTTGAGTGGTTTGCTGTTTTTGAAACCATAGGCTTCAAATTTCTAAGACATAATTGCCCAGTCCCCAGGCGTGCAAACGAGGATGGGAGAGGTTCCTCCAGACTTCGGAAGAAACGCCGGTCGTGTCTGGCTTCCTGGCGGCCGGTCGCCTCCACTGGGACTGCTCTGAGGAGGGCGTTTGCCGGGCTCCGACCGAGCGCCTTCGTGGTTGGGTTTTGCGTGTCACGGGCTGTGCCGCTTCCTGCAGACTCTGCTGTCCGCTCTTTGATTCTCAGGTCAAGAGCAAAACCTGTTTCTCTTGCTGTTTTGTGAACTTCGTAAGGCCGAGCGTTGCAGAGCTCTGAACTAGTGACAGTTTCGTGTACGCCTGGGAAAGTACCGCTTCCCTTAGCTACTTTCTCCTTTGCAAGAAGGCCTTGAAAACCCCACGTTGCTAATTTATGAACAAAGACTGTTCTCTTTTGTCCCTGTTTACCTTTTCTTTCCTTTTCTCACTGCTTTAGCTGGGACTTCCAGTGCCGTGCTGACATCCTTGCCTTGTTCCTGATCTTAGTGGGAAAACTCTAGTTTCTCACCATTAACTATGACGTGAGCTGCCTGTATCTTGTGGAGGTTCTTGGTCAAGTTGGAGGAGTCCCCTTCTAGTCCTCGTTTGCCGGGACTTTTTTTCATGAATGGATGTTGGATTCAGTCGAAGGCTTTTCCTGCATCGACTAATGTGATCATACGCTGTTTCTTGTCCAGTCTGTGGGTGTGATGGGTCACACTGGTTTTGAGTGTCAGACCATCACATACCTGGAAGAAACCCAGCCGCTCATGGTAGACATTTCGTGCACTGTTAGCAATTGCAGGCAGCCCGTGGATGGCGCTGTTGGGTCCAGCTGTGTTCTTAATGTTCCCCTGCCTGCTGGGTGTGTGCATTTCTGATAAGAGGGTCTGGCTGCATCCTTTGTGGCCTTGGTATCAGGAGCGTCTGAATTTAGGGTTCCTGTGTCTTCTGGGTGAGTTAACCCTTTTATTTTTACAAAGGGTCTCTCTTTATTTCTTTAAGTCCGTGCATCCATATTAAGACAACTGTTCCGGCCTCCTTCAGCAGGTGTTTCCTGGGTGTGCGTGGCATTCCACTTAGAAGGCAGAAACCACACAGTGACCAGGACAGGAAAATCACAGTGTCAGAAAGTTCTCATCTGGGCGCTGCGGTAACGAGTGTCAGCCTGTGAGGGTTACAGCGGACTCCAGGAGAGCCACCTGGCAGATGTGAGGAACGGCCCTGCCCCTCGGGAGAACGCGCGCCCCAGGGCTGAGGCCGTTCCATGGACAGAGCAGTCCTGAGGCCTTCTGACGGGCATTGCTGGCTATCTGGTGTCCAGGGGGCAGGGGTGGTGCGGGGGGAGCCGCTGGAGCCCCCCCGCCAATTCTGCGAGCTTCCGCGTGCTGTTCTGGTCAGGGAGCTGCTGGCTGGACAGCCGCCCCGGGGGGCTCGGTGGGGACTGTGGCCTGAGGTGCTGCTTTTACTGTCGGCGGCTCCCGGAGAAGGTTGGGCCGGTGGGAACCTGCCCCACCAAGCCTGCGGTCTCTGCAGCGGTCAGAACCGGGAGGGGAAAGCCCCCACGGACCAGGGCATCAACTCGGGCACTGGAGTAGGTAGGGGTTTGCGTGACCTTGGCTGTGAGCAAAGGGAGGGCGCTCGGTCACACCGCCCAGCCTAGGAACGGTGGAGCGTTTACCAGGCGGCTTTAATGAAGCTGGTTTTGCAGCTGTGCGTGTGACGGAGAAACCTGGCGGACTCTTGGGCTGTATGAGCCCGTTCATGTCTAGACGCTTGTGGGGAAGAGGGTGGTGATCCTCTGAGTTGGAGGAAATGAGTGTTGGCAGCTCAGAAGGCACATGGCAGTGTACATATCTCCACCAGGCACACCAGAGTTACCACCTGTACAAGTAATACGTCATTTCACAAGATGTAACAATCTCGGAAGTCCAGGCATTTTTAAAATATTTTATTTATTTATTTATTTGTTTGTTTAGAGACGGTGAGCTGGGGGAGGGGCAGAGGTAGACAGAGAATCCTGAGCAGACTCCATGCCCAGCCAGGAGCCCAAGGTGGGGCTTGATCCCGTGACCCTGAGACCATGACCTGAGCTGCCGTCAGGAGTCGGACGGAGCCAGCCAGGTGCCCCAGAAGTCCAAGCATTTTAACGGGATTTCTTTGTTCTTAGAAAGAACATTTGCAAGGATAAGTTTTGGGGGCGTAGAATGGCATGCACTAATGTGAAGTTGTAAGGGAACAGGGACGTTTGCTCCTTAGAAATTTCTTTTATTCCCATTTGCACAGAGCTTTAAGGTGAGTTATATTGAGAGGGAAAGAAAGGCCTTAGGAGTTCAAAACCAGGGGCCCCTGGGTGGCGAGGTAGGTTAAGTGTTTGACTCTTGATTTTGGCTCAGGTCACAGTATCAGGGTTGTGGGATCAAGCCCCGTGTCGGGCTCCGTGCGGTATTAATAGCTGATACACAGACGGCACAAAGAGTTCTTTTGTTTAAGGAGGAAACGTCTTAAGAGCCTAGGACTGGATCATGAAACTCACGCTCCCTAAACGTGCAAGAAACACATTGTAGAAAACCACCATCTAAAACAAAATCAGCCTAATGGAAAGTAGACGAGATTTAAGACTAAATTAGAAAGTATTACCGATTTGACGTTGGGGTAGAGACGTTAAGGCAAGTTAATATCTTTAAGACTCTGGGAACCTTTTAATCCAGTTAACATTTAGGCAGTGGGGCATTAATTCAGAAGCGAACGTTTTCTTAGCGAATACACTACTTTTCTGTCCAGCAGTGTTAGTATTCTGTTGGCTGGTCTGTGGGGTGCGAAATAAGAATGCTTCTCACCGCTCTTTTCCCCACCTTCCTGGTACAGCGCACTGTAGATTGGAGCGGTTTTCCCAGGAGGAACGGCATACATTTGCCGGCACCCTGGTGCATTGAAATGCCAAGTATGTTATATTTGTTACTTTCATAAATAGTACGAGAACAGCAATAAATTCATAGTGAGAATTTTAGCAGTATAAATAATTCTTATGGTTCAGGTTATATCATGAATTTTTCCCACTGAGTAAATGGATTCTAATCCTAAGCAAATTACTTGCTGGTACTAATTATGCCTACGTGTAGACACCTTCGATGGTGTCCTGTGCAGCCCCCAGCATTAACCTTGCTATTAGACCTTGAAGGAAAGGACTTCTCCCTGACGGGATCACCTCTTTTTGGTTATCAAGCATGGACGAATAATACCATTTTATTCTGCTGCATGAAATTTTCATCGTCTTTTTTGAATGATTTTGGGACTGGATGATTTTATAGCTCATTTGGAAGCTTGTTTCTGTCATCAATGCCGGTGGACCTTGGTGTAGATAAATTAAAACTAGATGTAAATAAAAACAGGCATTGTTTATCTTATTAATGTTTTCCCCGGAAAATCGATTTTGTCTGCCCCTCCCGTGCTCTGGGCATGTCGCATGGTCTTCAGCACATGAACACAGCCTGCTGGAGGCAGTGGGATGAAGACTTAGCTTCTGACTGTGATTTAAAGGCTTGGAGAGCTCAGGTGGGTGAGCACCTCACTTGGTTCAAACCCAGCCACACTCAAGAACCCTGGCCCAGGGAGGTAATCGGGCTGAGGCCTGCCACCGTCTCTTCCAGCTCGCTGCTGTGCCTCCCACCACTCACCGCCCCACCTCTGTCTGAGGGGCCTGTCGGGCACAGACACAAGAGCCATACATGCCGGGAGTCCCAGTTAGAGCAGAACAGCCATTGCTCGAGTAACAGTGGTGGGCCAGTCAGGCAATCAGTAGTAAGTGTCTTCAAAGAAAAATCAGTTATGCCCCAAAAAGGTGATGTAGAATGAGAAACTCTAAATGAAAATGTCCGTGATGCACCGGAGAGATGTCAGTCTTGAGAGTCAGGTTCCAAGTGGTCTGAGAGGTCACGTTGGGGGAGGACCTCAGAGCCTGTGTGACGAGGGCTCACCGGGTACGGACAGATGGGAAATGGGCCCAAGAGAAGCAGTCGCCTAACACAAGAGGAGAAAACTTCCAGAACTGAAGAAATGCGCAATTCTGAAGATTCTTTCTTTTGTGTCTTTCACTAAATTCTGGATGGAATTAATTGCAAAGAAATCAACACCTAAGTAAGTTTGTGGATAAAATTATGGAATTCCAGGATTAAAGAGAAAAATCTCCAGATCTTTCTGGCTCTGTCCTGGCCCTGCAGTGGCCGCTTTGTCACATGTGGAATCTGAGCCCCTGAAACCTGGCGAGTCCGGCCGAGCTGCAGGTCAGTGTTAGGTGCGTGCCGGGTCCGGAAGACCGCGTGGAAGGGAAGTGTGGAAGAAAGCCTGCGGAGCGCGCCAGGGCTCCATTGATGCCGGCCACGGGCGGACGTGGTGTGGGGATACCGAGTAGAATAGAATGTATCGGGAAGAACTTCCCCTTATTCTTGTCATCTCTTTTAATGAGGCTGGTGGAGAGTTTACGTCCACTCCCATTTGTCCTGATGCGAGACGGGGCTGTAGAGACCGCGTGGCGTGAGTCTCCACGAAGAGTGGGGCGCGGCCTGGCACTCGCTGGCCGTCGCTGGGATGGAGACTGGTGTCTGCGGCTGGGGCTCGCAGGCTGGGAAAGAGGAAGGGAGCGCACGGTTGTAGATGCACGTGTGAGGATGGCCCCGGGAGGACTCCTCGCAAGTTTTGGGGCGCGTCTGGAGCGGCTCAGCCCGAACCTGGCTCCGTGGGGGCAGGGGGAGCAAGGCCGTCCCGGGACAGGTGCGTAGAGGAGGACTGAGGGAGGCAGGTGAGTGCGGAAGCGACCGAAGCAGGTGTCGTTGTAACAGTGTGTCTCGGGGAAAACGGTTTCGTTTATCTCAGGTGTCTGTGGGGAGATGAAGCCCGTGATTGTGAAACGCGCTCATCGTGCTTATGAGTCTGACCTGTGGCCGAGTCCCGGCTCAGATGCTCACAAACGAGAGTCCTTCTGAGTTAATGCGAGCGCACCCGTAGGAAACCTGGCTGGCAGTTCTGCTTGTGTGGGGAGCGCGCTGGGGCCCCCGCGAACCGCCGCTGGCCGTGAGGGCGGGACGACTGGCCGGCGCAAGTGCGGTCGCCCAGCGGTGGGCGTGTTACTGATGACGTCAGCGTTCCGAGTGTGTGTTCAGCTGCGCAACAGGCCTGGGGTTATTTTGTGAAAATGGGCATCTGGGTGTTTTGGTCGCTGATTTCTGTTTTAATCATCTTTCTTTACATTTCAGGTTTCTCTATGAATCGTGTTCGAGGACTCTGGGAGCGCTTCTGAATTCATAACCAGGCCAGCATCTTCGGTCACGTGAAAACAGGAAAAGGACTCAGTGAAAGTGAAATGAATGTGTATTTTCCTAGTGTTTTTAATGTCAATAACCGGTGTCATAGGGGTGGGGTTTATTTGGGGAGTTACAAGTAGGAAACTCAAAGGTTCTTAAGCTTTTGCTTGGTGCCTGCATAAATACTATATTTAAGGTAAAGGACTCTGGGTATCAGTGGTGCAAAGGAAAAAAAGACACTTTTCTAGCAAACGTGGTTGTTTTAAAAATGACTTTATATATATGTATGCATATGTATAAAACTGTTGCTTAAACTCTGAGTAATAAAAGCGATGACGACGTGTGTGAGTCTAACCCTCGAGAGGCAGGGGTTGAGTTCTGCTGAGTGGAAGGCGCTAAAGCAGAGGGAGGGGCCGCTGCGGGGTCCTGTAGTGGCCTCCTCTCCCGGTCTTGCTGCTGCTTGACTGGGTGTCCGGATGGGTCTGGTGGCCCCAAGTACGCGTGGCAGAGCTGAGTCCTTCAGCCGGAAGGTGAGTCTCTGCCATTTCATCTTTTCTTTCTGAGAGCTGACCTGGTGCCAGTGGAGGGCCAGCCCCGGGCTTCCTCGCTGCGTCGTCCAAGACCCCGGCCTGTCTGCCGTAGGTGACCAGGTCTGTGTGTCCCTGTCAGCCACAGGCCCTGCGTCGTGGCAGAGCGGCCGCCTGTGACCGACGGGACACGCTCATTCTGACCTCTGACCCAGCAAAGCGGTAAAGAAACGCCAATTTCACTGTTTCTCTAAGAAGGTACAGAAATGGACTGCTTACCACAGGAGCAGTTAGGGTAAAGGGTTTCGGAGCTATCTCCGAAATGGGAGGTGGGGGTTGTCATTTTAGCTAATTTTGAACGGGACCTTTTAGACACCTTTGCTAAGATGTATTCCGTGTTGGCAAATGTAGTTTATCTTTCTTTTTTTGTCCTTGCTGGTGTTTGTTTTAGTATTAAACGCACTGAGGGGCGTCTGGCAGCAGAGGCCAGGCGGCAAGAGGGAGCGGAAGTGGCAGTGCCCCGTGTCAGCCGCCAACCAGAAGGCCTGTACCGCCCGTTTGCACACAGCGGGAAGGCTGCGCGCCACAGCCCAGGAGCGAAGCAGCCTCCGGGAGAGAGGCAGCAAACAACGGACCTGACCAAACGGTCAGTGTGCCCCTCACCCATCAGACACCCAGGACTAGCTTGGCGGCATGAAAACCAGCCGCGGGGCGGGGCAGGGGCTCGCTCCCACTCCGTGAGGCCTGGGCCGCACCGCCCAGGGGCCCTTGCTGTGGTCCCTCGTCGTGGCAGACTAGCCAGGCCTTCGCTGACCCACGGGGAAAAGTGACTGTTCTCCAAAAACTGCCCTGACACGACCTTTCCACCGCCGGCCGTTCCTAAGGTGAGAACGGTTTCTCGAGTGACCCTCAGAACGGGAGAGCGCGCAACTAGGAAGACGGAGCTGTAGCGCCTCGCTGGTTTCGAAATTATTCTACGTCAAATATAGTGACGCCGCGCTTAGGACCACTGATGTCTAACTCTCCAGTCTCTGTCCTTTGAAAAGGAGCTGGTGGCTGTGCGCGTGGCCCAGACCTGGACAGTGGGTCGCGCTGGGTGTCAGCGGGTGAAAGCCGCGTTCCCTGTGCTCCTGGAGCAGAGCGCTGGAAGGGCTGGGCCGAGCACGCCGGCACAGGTGTCCACGGCACGGCGCCCAGCGGCTCGGTCGGTTGAGCGCCCGTATCTTGATCTCAGCCCAGATCTCCATCTCAGGGCTGCGAGTTCTAGCCTCATGCTGGACTCTACTGGACATGGAGGATGTGTTCAAGAAAGTGTCCAGGAGCACGTGCTTGCTGACGGCTCCGTGGCCATCCCGCTCAGGCCCACATTCTCATGGATGTGCTGACGTCTTTCGTAGCTAACTCATGACTGAACCACACTTTTTCTAAAATAAAGGACGTTTCTGGAGGGTTAATTTCAGCAGAGGTGTCTTATATGGCAGCCATTTCTTGGTGTTTTTTTTCCGGGAAGGGGAAATTTCCTGATCCACATTTCTCTAGATTCCTGGCACCAGCATCCAGCAGGGGTCCCGTGCCCCTCGGGGACATCTGTTCAGCCTCTCACTCATGGCACAAGCAGCTCCTCCCACTGGTGACAGTGAGCAGAACAAACGTGAGTCAGCAGCCTGAGTGTGTGCGAGATGCTCACGGTGACCAGTCTCACAAGGGCTCTGATCTGCCTCGCACACAGACGGGGAAAGCGTGTACCAAGGCAGACGTGAGTCGGGCTGATAAATCAGCTCGCACGGTAGAAGGGGCTCGCACCGTGACCTCTCCATCCTCAGCTAAGGCAGTCTGTACCCCAGCTCCACGGTCGCCCCTACCGAGTATCAGAGACCCCAGGGCCTGCTGACCCCATGTGTGCCGGCCGCCAGAAAGAGCCTCCTTAACTCTCCCCTCAGCCAGCCCTCCCACTCCTCGGACTCCTCCCACAGCTGAGGAGTTTGCTCCAGTTCCCAGTGTGGCCCCTGAGTCCGGCAGACGGGGTCTGGTCTGGTCGGACTGCAGGGGGTGATCGTGCCCCAAACCCATCACCTGCACGGCAGCCACGCCGACCACCTCCACACGGGCTTACGCTCCGTAGGTGGTACGTCTGGCTTTCCTTGTCAGAAGAAGAGTTTTCAGAAGTGATAGCTCCCATTCAGGTACATCTCCTCTGTCTTGCTGAAAGACCGTTGTTGGTAAGTTTCTAGAGTAGACCGTTTTACAAAACAAAAGTGCATTTCTGGGATAAACACAGCATGTGGACTCATGCTCACTGAACGGCCCTGTGGTGGGGTCTGGGTAATGGCTCCCCAAATTATTTGTGATAATCCCACAACCTGTCAGTGTTACCTTGTATGGCAAAGTAGATTTTGCAGATGTGATGAAGTTTAGGGTCTTGAGTTGGGGGAGGCTGTCTCGGTTTACCCAGCGGGCCCTGACCTCCTGGAGGTCCTCGTTGGGGGAGCCTGGGCAGACTTGTCCCATGCACAGACGGCACAGTGACCACAGAGGTGGAGACTGGAGGGATGTGGCCACAAGCCAAGGGTGGCAGGCAGCCGCCAGAGCTGGCAAAGGCACATGGAGCCTCCCACCAGGGCTTCAGAGGCAGCGCGGCCCCACAAGACCTCGATGCGGGCCAGTGAGACCGTGCGCTGCCAGCCTCTGGGACTGTGAGAGAAGGTATTTGCGTTGTTGCAAGCCCCAGAGTTTGTCAAAATTTGTCAAAGCAGCCACAGGAAACTCGCACTGACCCCATCTCCCACCAAAACTCACACACGGGTAGGAAATTCAGCTGTTGGGCAACTTATCCCCAAAGGATCCCATGTCCATCCTGGTGCTCCGTGTTCTTGCCTTTTCTGTTCGGTAGGAGGGTCTCCTGGCCAACACGGGGAGGCGGTCCTGCACCCGAGCTGCCATTTCCAGTGGGCAGACCCTCCTGGGGGAGTTTCTGGTCCTCCGCTAGGCCTGCCTAGATGCCGTCAGTGATCCGCAGGCCCAGGGGCACTCATGTCATTAAATAGCATAACCTGTGTCCAGTAGCAGGTGACAGAATGAGGAAGGTAAAATGCACACGACAGAGACAGGAAAGGAACATGAGGGGAAGAGGCCTGGGACCACCATTCTTTAGGGGCTGCGGCTCTAAGACATCCCGTCTTGCCACCCATTCCACATTCTCCTGAAAGTTTGGTGAGGGTCTCCCGCTGGGGCAACCCACGTATGCATTTCTGAGGGCCCGCAGCAAGCCAAGATCTTTTCCTGCAGAGGAAAATAGTGACTCAAGTGCCTGCTGGGCTACAAAACCCAGGAGCTCGCGCTACCGTTCTCTGGGGCAGCACATGGGCCCGTCTGCACGGAAACCTGCTGCTTGGTTTAAGGCAAATGGCAGAGCAGTTTGTCCGGCTGTTGGAAAACCTTTCGACTGGGGTTTCGCAAAATTGGCAGGTTTTAGGTGTATCCAGGAAATGGTAAGAACGTGCACCTATTGATCTTAAAAAACTGAAAACTTACCTGTAAACCTCACCTGTCGTAAATTTACGGTTTGATGAGTTGTAAAAAATATATTCAAGCACATAACCCGTGCGCCCGTCGAGACGAGGACATTCCCATCACCCCAGAGCACTCCCTCCTGCTCTCACCCCCGAGAAGCAGCCTCTGCTCCGATCGCCGTCGCCCCGGGGGTGTGGCCGGCTCTCCAGCTTCATGAAATGCTCATCTGTGTCGGGCGCCTCCCGTGTTCGCATGTCCCTGCAGTTCATGCTTCGGGGGTGGTGGTGTCAGTCTTACCAGTGTGCCACATGGCGCATCCGTGGCGCTGGTGTGAACACCCCGCGGGGGCGCTCAGACCCGCTCTGCGCTCCCGCATGTCGGCACCTCCTCATTCCACGGCCGGGGGTACCCCGTAGCTCCCGCCGCTGAGGCTAACACCACGGGGCGACGCTCAGTCCCAGGGGAATGGCACGGGGTGTGTTGGGGGGCCCACGGGGGCAGGCCAGAGCGACATCCTGGCTTGTCAAGGGTGTGCGTCAGCCCACCACCACTGCCCGTGGTCCCCGGTCCAGAACCGGTGACAGCCACAGTTGTGGGAAGGAGGAGGAAAAGTTCGGAACGCGAGCTCAAAGCTCTAGGCTCGGAGAGTCTGGTGATGCCCTGGGCCTGGGGGAGAGGCTCTGACGTCATTGCAAAGTTCCAAGTCACCTTTTTTTGCTAGACTTAGAGGTATTTTGCTTAAATAAACCAAGTCAGAATGTGGTAAGTTTGGTTTGTCTAGTTTGGTTCTAGCTTCCCCGGGATCAGCTGGGAACCCCAAGGCCTGCGAGGACGTCCGGCTTCCACAGACCGTCTCTGTGCATGTGGCCGCCGCGCGGGTGCTTTCTGGAGAAGACGCTGGAGCGCGGTGTGGCCGAGCGAGGCCAAGTGCCTTTCGCTTTCTCTGGGAGAGCGCGGAACCCTCCAGTGTGTGCAGTTCCTCCTGGTCCCAGGGTCCCAGCGGCAGAAGCTCACTCCCTCCCGCGAGGCGTGCACAGGGAGCCGGTCACGGGGTTGGGGAGTGTGTGGGGGACACCTGGGACCCATGCAGTGCCTGTGGGCCATGTGGGGGGTTCCCAGGCGCCGGCAGGCCTCCAGGTGCTCCTCACCTGCCCCAGGCCGTGCAGCTTTTTGTAGTCTTCTATGGCGGCGAGAGGGAAATGTGTTTCTTCGGTGGCATTCCGCACTCCTGTGGACGCTGGAGGCTCACGCTCTCTCTGCCCCGACCCTGCAGGAGAAATGAGGGACCCAGAAGGACTCTCTTGCCCTGAGAGGTGCTGCCGTGGGGGAGGCGGGACACAAAACCGTCTTCTCTTCCCCGGGCATCTGACCGCGGGTGAGAACAATCCTTGGTATTGCTCTTACCTTGTGCTCCGACGACACGCTGACGTCTCCCGGAGACCCCAGACTTCCATAAAGGCTGTCTCTCCTGTGGCTGATGCTCAAAGCCGGTTCCTCCAGGGTTAGGCCTGGAAAACTCTTCTTCTGCCATGTTGATGATGTCCTGCCCCATGGTTTTGAAGTTTTTTACTTTAACTCCAGAGTAGTTGGCATACTGTCGGTACGCTGGTTTCCGGTGTGACCCAGTGAGTGACTCAACAGTTGTGCACTTTACCTTGTGCTCATTCTCATGAGCGCGCGTTTTAGTCCCCTGCCTGTGTCACCCATCCCCCGCCCCACTCCGGTCACCATCCGTGTGCTCCGTAGTTAAGGGTCCGTTTCTGGTTTGCCCCTCTCTTTTCCCTTTGTTCCTTTGTTTCGTTTCTTAAATGCCACATACGAGGGAGCTCACACGGCGCTTGTCTCTCTGTCTGGCCTCGCTCAGCGCAACACTCTCCAGCTCCGTCCATGTGGCTGCAAACGGCAAGATTTCATCCTTTTTATGGCCGAGTAACATCCCACAGTGCGCGCGACCCCGTCGTCTCTATCCATCCTCTCCCGACGGGCACTTGAGCTGCTGCCATCATCTGAGCACCGCAAACCGCAGCAGAAAGCACTGGGGGGCTGGGGGTGGGGCGCGTCCTTCGGATCCCACTTCCGCCGCGTTCCGGGGGAACAGCCCGTGGCGCTGTCACTGGCTCTTAGAGCAGCTCGACATTTCCCTTTCCGAGACCCTCCACGCTGTTTTCCACGGTGTCCGCCAGCTCGTCCCGCCAACGGCGCGCGACGGAGCCTTTCTCCCTCGTCCTCCCAACACCTGCTGTTCTCGTGGTTTTGATTTTAGCCGTTCCCACGGGTGTGAGGTGGTGCCTCGTTGTGGTTTTGATCTGCATTTCGCTGATGACGTGATGCTGAAGGTCTTTTCATGTGTCTCTTGGCCATCTGGATGTCTCCCTTGGAGATATGTCTGTTCCTACCTTCTGCCCATTTTTTACAAAGATTTATTTATTAGAGGGAGAGCATGTGCACAAACGGGGGGAGGGGCAGAGGGAGAGTCTTCAAGCAGACGCCCACCGAGTGGGGAGCCCGACGTGGGGCTCAGTCCCAGGACCCTGGGATCGTGACCTGAGCCGAAGGTGGACGTGTAGCCAACTGAGCCCCTGGGGGCCCCGGACATAGCCCTTTATCAGACGTGTCATTTACATATATCTCCGCCAATTCTGCGGGTTGCCTTTTAGTTCTGTGGCCTGCACTCTGAAGAAGCTTTTCATCTCGAAGAAGCCCCAGCAGTTCATTTTTCTTTTGTTTCTCTTGCCTCAGGAGATATTTCTAGAAATATGTTGCTAGGACCAATGTCAGAAATCAGGGCTGGTGCTCTCTTCTAGGACGTTCATGGTTTCAGGCCTCACATTCAGGTCTGTAATCCATTTTGAGTTTATTCTCGTGCAGGGTGAGAGAAGGTGGGCCAGTTTCATTCTTCTGCACGTGGCTGTCCAGTTTTCCCAACACCATTTTTGAAGAGACG